GCTTCTTGGGAGGTTGAAATGGGAGGATTAGCTGAACCCAGGAGGTCAAGGCTGCTGTGAGCCATGATCATGCCACTGCACTCCAGCCTGGGCAACAGAGTGAGACCCTGACTCAAAAATAAATTAAAAAATAAATGTGTGATGTACTGCAATAGGTGTAGACCAAAGGATACAATGGGAAATCAAAGGAAGTTAGAGGGGAAAACTCCACACAGGCTTGTAGGCATATGGATGTTTTCTAAAAGAAATAAAGATTAAATCCTTGATACTCAAACAGTTAGCTTGCAGGAACAGCAACAAAACCTGGGAGTTTATTAGACAGACTCTCAGGCCCCATCTTAACTTTTTTATTTAAAAAATAAAAACAAACTAAATAAAATGTTTATTTTTAGACAAATCTCCATGTGGGCTTATATCCAGGAAACACTTCTCTAAACCATTTTGAAACCATAGTTTTAAACCTAAAAAATAGCTCTTTGGAACAACAAGCTAAAGACACAGGCATCAGACTTTTATTTCATTGTACTCATTGAGGTATTTCTGAACCTATTACCATTGTGTTAGCACCACTTAATTTGTATTCTGAAATTATTGACAGTTAGAACTAATAACAGCTGTTTCTGTACTTATCAAATCACAATCAGATCTAATTTCAGTTTTGTATACGAGACTTCTTTATGTTGGCTTAGGTTTTGGAGGTGTGATAGTTTGCCTATGAGACACCAAACCTTCGGTTGATCATACTTAATAGCCAGCAATAGATTTTGACTTTTAATGAACAGTTGTCCCTAATAGCCTATTCTCCATCTCCCATCATTACTCCCATTTTCCTCTTGCACAGTCCTTGTAACATCTATAACTTATGAGGTTGATAAATTTACCTGAGAAATTGACTTCAAAGCTTAATACCAACTTTAAACATTTTTTGTGTTAAATTATTTTTCTTTGGTTCTAATTTAGTCTCTTCCAGATAGTATTTTTTTAAGTGTCTGTAGTATTTGATGGCAAGCTGGTTGCTTTAGCTCTCTTTACGACCTACTGATTGTTACATTTAGAAGTTTTTTACTTTTAATTCAGTCTATAGATAGTTTAAGAGGAGCAATGTATTGGATAGATCAGAAATTTTTTTATATGTGAGGAAATCCAAGATTCTAGATGATAACTGATGGGGGATTAGTATATTTCATGTCATACTACAACATTGATGAATTCATGCATCCATACAATAAAAGAAGCTCAGTAGAAAAAAAATAGATGTTTAATAAGTGCTGAACAGAATGCTTAACATAGCAGTGAACATAAAGGGTATGGTTTCTTCTCATCATGTGTGTAGTCCAATGGCAATAGATAATTACAGCATAGTAAGTGGGTTATGGAAGGAGAGCACATATATTACAGGGGCAGCTGACCTTTTCTGAATGATTCCTCTGAGTTCTTTTTGATCAAAGCTGAGGTCTGAGGGATAATTTAAACTTCGATAATTACAGCTGTCTTTTAGTTTTAAGGTCTAAAGAATATATTAAGTTATCTCTTCTTTATCGAAGTAGCTAAGTATAATAATTTTTCTTCAGCACTATACAGTTGCCCAGTCTGTCTTCCAGTGTCTTATAATATGCTTATTAAAATTCATAATATAGTTATTCAAGCTTTTATTATATAAGTTCTTTATAGTAGTTGAGTAGTTTTCTAATTATCCCTGAAATGGGATCCAAACCTTCTTGATCTATAAAGCCTTTAATTTGGTTCATCTATGTTATATGAAATGTAAATGCTTTTTAAAATGAGATTCAATTTTGGCATCATAGCTAACTTTTAAATTGTGATGAATAATACATAATCACCAGAAAATTCTTTCTCCTGAAATAAAATTATTCAATATTATTTTTATTTTAGAGTATGACTTTTTACGATATGTTTAGAGGACTGTCTACTGACATAACATTAAGGTGTATGCCAGCCAAATAACCTCAGAAAAACCAATCGAAATGCTAGGGATGCCAAAAAAAAAAGTATACACATTTTAAGAGCTGTTATCTATGTATTACTTTTCAAAGTTGAATTAATTTACAGTGCTTTCGCCATTTTCTTTGACTGTCCTGCCTGTCACACGGCGATGCTAGCATTCATTTGATTAACACCATCTTTTGAGCCAACATCATACTTAAAATGTGTATACATTTTTTGGCACACCCTGTACTGAGAGAACTAAACTTAGCTATATATCTGGCCCCCACTCCCAACCACTCATAAATTACAAACAATAAAACACCCCAAGTGATGAAATGAGAGAATACTTAAAGTGTGGTAAGGGAGATGATGGTTCATTTGGAGTGCTAAGGAAGGGTCTCCTGATGGGGAAATATTTAAGCCCATATCTGAAGGATTACAAGAAGCCAGCCATTTTTTAAAGGGTTAGAATGGAGTGGTGAGTGTTCTGAGTCATTTGGGCCCTGATTGGTGAAGCGTTTTGTATGTTTGAAGGATAGCAAGGAAACCATGAAGACTAGGGCATATCTGCAAGGAGATACTGCCACAGGACAAGGTTGGAGAGAGGCAGTGGGAAAGGTTTCTTTAAGTCCACTGAAACAGTTGAAGGGTTTAAGGGAAGTAGTGATGTGCTTGATCAGATTTATACTTTTGAAAAGTTCCTCTGAGCCTGCTCAGTGGCTCAGCCTGTAATCCTGCGTCTTTGGGAGGCTGAGGTGAGTGGATTCCCTGAGCCCACAGGTTCGAGACCTGCCTGGGCAGCGAGACCTCATCTCTACAATAAATCAAAAATCAGTCGGGCGTGGTAGCACACGCCTGTAATTCCGGCTACTTGGAAGGCTGAGGCGGAAGGATTGCCAGAGCCCAGTGGGTCGAGGCTCCTGTGGCTGATCCCAGGAGCGGCCACTGGACTCCAGTCTGGGCGACAGAGTGAAACTCCAACTCAAAAAAAAAAGAACAGTTCCTTTGGCTGTAGTGTGGAGAAAGTCTTGAGTAAATACAGGCAAGAAGTGTAAAAGCCAGTAGTGTGTAACAGCAAGTTAGAGGTGGCAGTGGCCAGGACTGAGCTGCTGGCAGTGGAAGTGCAGAGAAGTAGAAGGATTAGAGACAAAACTTGAAGCTAAAGCTTCTGAATTTACTGATGGTTTGGATTGAAGAAGTGGCAGGGGAGAGGATTAAAGAGGCAGAGGAGAGTGACAAGGGACAAGAACAAATCCAGGTGACCTCCAGCTTTCTGACCAGAGGATTGGATGTCATTTGTAAGATTGAAGAAGATTAGGAGATGAAACTGGTTAAGGGAGGAATTTTAGATGTGGTAAGTGCAAGAGGTTTTGTGTGACAAAATGGAAATGCTAAAAAGAAAGTTGAAAATCACACTGATTTAGAGATCTCAGAGCAAGTTAAAACTGGAAATGTGAATGGGCGTTGGGGAATAACGTCTAAGATAATGTCTAAGATAATGATTAACGTCCTCACTGTAGGTAATACGGTTTAGGATCTAGGCTTCAGCCCTGGGAAACACCAGGATTTTTAGAATTCAGATAGAGGAAGACTTTGTGTAGGTGATGGAGAAAGATTATCAGGGAGGTCAGTGAAGCATCCACAGGTGTGCTGCTACGGAACCCAACAGAGCTGTATGCCAGTGTTAGGAGCCTGAGTAGAGTGACAACAGAGAAATAGCTTTTGTAGACCCAGAGGTTGCCCTCGCCCCTGGTCTAACAGTAGGGAAGAAGACATAGTTATAGATGCAAGTTGATCTGAAGTTGGGAAAGTGAGGTAGAGAGAATTAGTTGGGTTGCTGGACTTCAGTGTGTGTGGTTTAAATTTGTGAATTACAGTGAAACCAGTCTCTCCCTTGTGTGGTTTTCTCCAAATACTGGTATTTCTATTAGCTCTGTCTTCTCCCAAAGAGTAGTAAAGCTCTTGTTTCTGGTTATTTTAATTCCTGGTGATGTTTTTATGTGATTGATGGAATACTATTTGTTAATTTGGTAATAATCTAAAAACTGGTAAGTATTGTGTACTTTAAGTTTTGGTCTCCTAATTAGTAAAATTGTAGCATGCGTTATTGAATTGCCTGATTCAAAATAATTTATCACTTGACATTTGTTTTGTGTTTTTCTTTAAAACTTTAGCTTTGTGGAATAAACGTTTTTCTTTATGCTGCTTAGCATCTTCATCAGATTAGTTTAGAATATTACTGAACGTGGTTATTTGGAAATGAAATGCCTCTGTTTTATTTGAACTATTTTAATAAGATACTATTTTTGTATACTCTATCTGGTACTTTGGGCATTTTAACTTGCAAATTTAGGACAATTTGCTTTAACAGTTTTTCGCTTTTCAAATTCTCCCCTGGATGTACTCTCCATAAAATATTTCCCTAAGTAAAAATCAAAAGCAAGACTCACAACTAGTGATCACTGAAGGAAAAGTCATTACGTGCTAAGATTATAAAGGTATATGCATCTTACGGTTCCAAACTGACTTTCTTCAGTTTAAAGTGTATACATTTATTGATTGTTCATGTTTCTTAATTGCATTTTTTGGTCTACTGGTTTTGGTTGCGTATAGAAGTACAACATGTAATCTTTCTGATTATCTGTTTCTCAAAGAGTAATAATTGTTAGAAGAAAATAATCCCCAAATGGTTCCTTCTAGTGTTAGTTGTTAGAGTACAGTTGACTTGTATTTACTTTTTGGTGCCGTAATTGCAGTTCATTTGTCAATGCTGATGTCATATGAACTTGAATTTTTAATGTTTCATTGTAGTGATGTTTCAACCAGAATAAAATATTTAATGTAGATTGTAGCACCAAATGTTTACATTTTAAGTTATACTTAAGTATTTGTCACTGTAAGTGATAAGCTTACTTCCCTACCTTGAAGCAATGTGTCCTAAATTTCCATACATTTGCTTTTGTTTTTGCTGTTCTAAAATTCTTTAGTTGCTGGCTTTGAACTTTTATGTTGCTGAGTTTTATGCATCTATTTTCTCACCTGCCATATCCTAGGGGGCTTGGAGTACCAATAATACAGTGAGCCCACCTTCCTGGTCCCCAGACATTTCAGAAGGTCGGGAAATTTTTAAACCCAGGCAGCTTCCTGGCAGTGCCATTTGGAGCATCAAAGTGGTAAATAACGTTGCATTTCCATTCATATATCATTTCTTTCTGGTTTGTTTTGAACTACTGAATGTTAAAAATTAAACATTTCTTTTCTAGATGGAGCTTTTAGAATGATTTTTAATCTAAAAATTTTAATGTAAAGAAACAACAGGCTTGCATTAAATCTGGATTAGGAGGAAGTTAAGTTTCAATTTCACAAGTATACATTTTAATTCCTTTTTTTATGGTTGATCTTTTTGTTGTAATTATCACTGATTTTCAATGAGGGAGAGGTTTCTGTCATGTAGGCCAAAAAGTAATAACCTTTTCATTAATTATACACAAAATTTTGTTTCTTAGAAAAGAACAACAGAAAGCCTCCATTAACCTATTCTTATTGAGAAGAATAACAGAATTGTGGCAGATTTCATTGTCTGTGATAAAATGAAATCTTAATATGGTTGGGCCTTTTTTCCATGTCGTCAGTTGATGACTCTCCTAGTCCTTGCTGCATTTTGAAGAGAAAAAAATTAATTTGGAAAAGTATTACCTCAAAAGTTAAAATACTTTATTGACTAGAGTATACAGTTTTTCCTCATTATCTATATTTAATATAATCCTGGAATATGGCTTTTTAGTTTAGATTAATCAAGAATTTTAAAGGAGTTTTAGATTGCGCTTTCTCATTTTCTATGTGATTTCTATTTATTTAACTCACCTTGAAATCATTTAAGGTATTGATATATAAATTACATGTTTTAAGAATGTAAAAGATTGACCAGGCATGGTAGCTCACACCTATAACCCCTGCACTTTTGGGAGGCTGAGGTGAGAGGATTGCTTGAGCCCATGAGTTTGAGACCAGCCTGGGCAACTTGGCAAGACCTCATCTTTACAATAAATAAATAAATAAATAAATAGCCAGACGTGGTGGCGTGTGTCTGAAGTTCTAGCTACTTGGAAGGCTGAAGCGAAAGGATCACCTGAGCCCAGCAAGTCGAGGCTGCAGTGGCCACGAGCTAGCCACTGCACTTCAACCTAGGCAACAGAGTGAGACTCCAACACACACACACACACACACACACACACACACACACACACACACAAAAGAGTGTAAAAGATTACTTGATAGACAGTTTTGTAACAATATACCACCAAATTTTCACTTATTTTTATCTGGGTCAACATTGGATGTTGAGATAAATAAATTGAGATATTACTGTAGTCTTGATTTTCGGTCTTTGACTTAACTTAAAAAAAAACCAAACCCATTTGTACCTCTTTAAAAACAAAGCAAGACAAATGAATCCTACCTCATCCAACTATTGCTCAAAAAAGTTGATGTAGCCGGGCTCGGTGGCTCAGCCTGTAATCCCGCGCCTTTGGGAGGCTGAGGTGAGTGGATTGCTTGAGCCCGCGGGTTCGAGACCCGCCTGGGCAGTGAGACCTCATCTCTACAATAAATCAAAAAAAAAAAATCAGCCGGGCGTGGTAGCACATGCCTGTAATTCTGGCTACTTGGAAGGCTGAGGTGGAAGGATTGCCGGAGCCCAGCAGGTTGAGGCTGCAGTGGCCGGGAGCGGCCACTGCACTCCAGTCTGGGCGAGAGTGAGACTCCAACTCAAAAAAAAAAGTTGATGTACCTCTCAAGACATCTTAAGGCAAGCAGGGTAGGAGAAGACAAGGAGAGGCAGTTTGAAACTGGATGCTGGCTGTATTTATTACAACCAAAGAGGAAAAAACTCATTCTCTCTTCCCTTTTGTTCATATTTCTCTGTCTTATGCTCACAATATAACCATACATTTTTTACTTTGATGCCACTCTGCTGAATATGGAATGTATTCAGCTTTTCAAACTTTGATAAGTAACATCAGTTGAAGATATGTGACCAGTTGAGATGGCTCATGCCTTTAATTCTAGCACTTTGGGTGGTCAAGGCAGGAGATTGCTTGAGGCCAGGAGTTCAAGACCAGCCTTGGCAAGATAATGAGACCCTGTTGCGGGTGAGGAGGAAGGAAATATGACATTGTCTAGCTTGTTAGGGGGGAAAAGATCAGAATGTGTTTTCCTGAATATTTTAATAATTTTAAGAATGTGTCTACTTGTATAGGTACCAGGTTTTTTCAATGAGGAATACATAAGTCAGAGTATAAACAAGGGGGAAAAAAAACCCATACCTTGGTACTTAGGTTTTAAAATACCAGGGTATTTGACATGTTTTTTTCATAGGGTGTTTTTCTTGTGTTAAGTACATTTCCATTAAGAATATTTATTATCCAGATAAATTAAAGCAAAGTTTTTACCCTGTTATCATGTTTCCTATAATCTTCAAATAATTTTTCCTCTAATACTGTAATAGAATGAGGTTGACACGTACGGTTCATAAGATCGCTCTTAAATAGTTGGAGGAAATTGACTTAATTTTAACGACAGAGAAAGAATACTGTTGTACACGAGCAAAAATTAACTCTCATGCAGTACAGAGTAGTAGTTATGAACCAGGACACTGAAGCCTGTCTGGTATCTCAGTAACTTTGGACAAGTTACTTTTTTTATTCCTCGGTACACTTATCTAAAATGGGGATAATAAAATAGTACCTACCATATAGGATTGTTGAAAGTAAAAAATACTTTAAGATTAGTATATAGTAAGTACTCAATACATGTTAGCTATTACTGTAAATCATTGAAGGACCAATTAGTGAGAAAGTTCTTTCTTATACTTACTCTGTATTGAATGCAGTTTGTTGCACATTGAAATATCTGGATTGGATTATAGCTGTCCTAGCCACCTAGAATGTAGGATTGTGAAATGGAAAAATAATGCCAAGACCTGCTGGTGGAGAGTATTCATAATGACAGACCCAAAGTTGTGAAATATATACTTAAAGATACAAATAATAAGCCTGGTCCCTTAATGTTTATATTATCATCTAATCAGAATAAAAGAAGCAAGTGTTTGTGTAGCATGAGATGAAGTGTTTGATCTCATTGACATTTGAATTTAAAAATCCTTTTAGCTGTTAAATTTTGACTGTTCCTTACCTGTTGCATAGGGCCGTGGATCTGGATTTCCAGGAAAGCGGAGACCGCGAGGTGCAGGACTGTCAGGACGAGGTGGCAGAGGAAGGTCAAAATTAAAAAGTGGAATCGGAGCTGTTGTGTTACCTGGGGTGAGGCTTGCTTTGTTTATATTTGCTGTAATCTTTAAATGTCAGTTAATAGTGATAACCTCATTTGCAGCAAGTTATTTAGATCCTATGAGTCAGATAAATATTTGTTTAAGTTTTTATTTTACTTTATCTTGACTTTGCTTTTTTTTTTAATCTCTGGTCATCTGGTCAGTTTTCTGTTTTCTACCTTCTCACTTTGTCTTTCTATGCCAGCCCTCTCCAAAAAGCTAATATTTAATATTTTTTTTATTTTATTTAAAAACATTAAGATGTAAATATTTGCTTACTGGCATCTTATGAGGTGTTATGAGTATTTAAGTGTTTTAAAATGTATTTTATTTTAAACGAATATTTTATATAATAACTACTGTTTTACTGAAATCCTGTTTTTTAAATTCTGAATTGTCATTTTAAGTTTAGGAAGCAGGTGAGATTGTTCAAGTTAAGTACTAAACCAGAAGTAAGGAAACTTGTATTCTAGTCCTTTAAAAAAAAAAAAGGAAAAAAAAAAACAAAAACCAGGCTTAATAAGGTATAATTGATATAAGCTATAAGTATTTAAAATATTCAATTTTGTAATTTTGACATATGTATACACCTTTAAAAACCACATCACAATCATGAAAGTGAAACATTAATTCCCCCAAAGTTTCTTTATGTCCCTTTCTAATCCCTCTGCCTTCTCCCTGCTATCAGACCTTGTCTCCAAGCAGTAATTGGTCTGATTTCCCTCACTATAGTTTAGTTTGTGTTTTCTAGATTTATATATAAGTAGAATCATAGAGAATGTATTCTTTTTGGTCTGATTTATTTCATTCAGTGTAATTATTTTGAGATTTATCTATGCTGTTGCATGTGTTAATAGTTACTCCTTTTGTTGTTGAATACTTTTCTTGTTGTGGATGCACCACAGTTTGTGTATATGTGTACCTATTGAAGGACATTATTGTGGCTTTCTATTTTTGGCTGCTAGAAATAAAACTGCCATGAACTTCTGTGTGTAATTGTTTCTTTTTTTTGAGTTGTGGTCTCACTATGTTGCCCAGGCTGGAGTGCAGTGGCACGATCATGGCTCATGGGAGTCTCAACCTCCTGGACCCAGGCAGTTCTTCCGCCTTAACCTCTTGAGTAGTTGGGACTACGGGTGTGTGCCATTAGGCTAATTTCTTGAGGTCTCACTATGTTTCCTACGCTGATCTCAAGCTCCTGGGTGCAAGCAGTCCTCTTGTCTCGGCTTCCCAGAGTGTTGGGATTACAAGTGTGAGCCATTGTGACTGGCCTATAATTTGTTGGTTTTTTTTTTTTTTTTTTTGAGTTGGAGTCTCACTCTGTCACCCTGACTGGAGTGCAGTGGAGCCACTGCACTCAGCCTTGTAATTCTTTATATGACCGAACACATACTTTCTTTTGGGTAAATATCTAGGAGTAGAATGACTGGATATTGTAGGTATCTGTTTAGCTTTTTAGGTAAAGGCTATTTAGCACGTTGCATGTGCTGTTTTCTATTCATAACAAGGTTGTATGAGATTCCTAATTCCTTCACATGCTGTCTTTAAAGCGGCTATGCTTATTCTTTTTTATTTTAGTCATTTTAATAGGTGCGTAATAGTGTCTCATTTGCAGCCCGTAATGACTAATAGCAGCTTTTTAGATGCTTATTTTTTAATACATGTTTCTTCTTTAATGAAGTCATTCTGCAAACCTTCAGCTCATTTACAAAATTTGGGCAGTTCTTCAACTTACTGAGTTCAGAGAGTTTTTAATGTATTCTGGACACTAGTTCTTTATCACTTACTTGATTTGCAAATATTTTCTCATTCCGCGGTCTTTAAAAATTTTCTTAACTGAATCTTTCCAGGAGCAGATATTTTAATTTTGATGAAGTTCTGTTTAATTTTTTTCTCTTCTATGGATTGTGCTTTTGGTATCTGGGAAATAATTCACATAACCTAAGGTTACAAACATGCTCTGTGTTTTCTTCTAGAAGTTTTATGGCTTTAGGTTTTATATTTAGATCCGCTTTGTTCTGTGTATGGTATAAATATAGATAAAAGTTTTTTGCATATTAAATATCCAGTTATTTTAGAACAGTTCGTCTGAATTGCCTTTGTGTCATTCTTGAAAATTAGTTATCAGTGTATGTGTGTACCTGTTCTGTGAAAAATCATATATGCAATGTGACCCCCAAATGCCAAAGAGCGGAGAAACCAAAGAAGGAGGCAGAAAAATCCAGTTTGTTGGTAAGGGAGGATTTACTAGGGGGAACTTAAAGAAAGAAGCGTAGTAATGGGCAGCTGCAAGACAGATCTCCACAGCGTAACTCCTCAGACCCAGGGCTTAAATCTTGGGGGAAAGTGTATGTGCTTGGAAAGGAATATGTATCATAGCCTATGATTTCTGAAACAGCATTAAGGGTTGTTTTGGAGGAAACTTACAGTGAATAGGTATTCCTACATAAGGAATAATAAGTCAGCTAGACATTTTGGAGGCATTCCTGAAGTGAGTTAGGAATTTGATCAGCATTTAATATAGTCACTCTTGTTCCCATAGTTTCTGTTTTCAGAATCTCTGACCTGTTTTTTCTATCTTTAGGCCAATATTGCACTGTTTTGATTACTTCTAACTGATAGATCTTAAAATCAGACACTATTAGTCTTCAAGTTTTCTGTCTTTACAAAGTTGTTTTGACTATTTTAGTTTTTTGGGATTTAAAAAAATTTTTTATTTCTTCCTTCTTCTTCTTTCCTTTTTTTTTAAAAGAAAGCAGGAGTTATTGAGAGGACAGAGAAGCTCCCACAGTGGGAGGGGACCCAAAGGGGTTGACTTTTTTTCCCCCTGTATTTTTGTATGCATTTTAGAATTAACTGGTCCATTTCTACAAATAAATCTTCTATGATGATTGGGTTTACACTCAAACCATAGATCAAATTGTGGAAAGTTAATGTTTTAAGCACATCAAGTCTTTCAACCTATGAACATGGTAAATGTTTCTCTTCATTTCTTTAGGTCTTTAATTTCTCACAGTGATTTTTGTAGTTTTCAGCACACATGTGTTTCACATGAATACTTAGACCTATCCCTAAGTCTCCTATATTTTTATGTTAATATAAATGGGCATGTAGTCTTCATTTCAAATTCTGATTGTTGTTAGTATATAGGAATACTACTCATTTCTGTATATTGATCTTCTATCCCATAACCCTATTGAACTTTCATTACTTCTAGTTGCTTTTTTGTTGAAGCCATTGGATTTTCTGCATATATAACCATGTTTTCTGCAGATAAAGGAAGTTTTATGTTTTTCTTTCCAATCTGGAAGCCTGTTATTTCTATTCATTCCTTATTGCATTTGCTGTTACCTTTAATACAGTGTTGAATGGAAGTGATAAGATCAGATAACCTTATCTTCTTTTTGATCTTGGGGAAGAAATTCCGGGCTTGGGCTGTTTTTTTTTTTTTTTTTTAATTAGACATCCTAAATAAGTTTGAGGAAGTGACTTTATTAGTAATTTGCTGAGATTTTTTTTCAAACCAGGAACATATGTTGCATTTTGTCAAATGCTTCCTCTGCCTCTGTTGAGATGATCGTGTAGGTTTGTGGTTTTTTCCTATGTTTATTGAGGTATAACATGTTTTCATTTCTGTATAGCATATAATGACCTCACAAAAGCACCTTCTTTTTTTTGGGAAAGAATACTTAAGATCTACTCTCAGCAAATTTCAAGTATATAATCCTTTGTGGATATAGTGAATTATATTGATGTGGTTTTTGTGTATGCTAAAGCAATCTTGCATTTCTGGAATTAACTCTACTTGGTCATGATACTTTCTCTTTTTAATACATTGTTGAATTCAGTTTGTTAAAATTTTTAGCTTTTAATGACTGTTAATGAGGAATATTGGTCTGTAGTCTTATTTTCTTGTAAAGTTTTTGTCTGATTTTGGTATCAGCATAATACTAGCTACATAGAATGAGTTGGGAAGTATGTTCTCTTTTTCAGTTTTCTGGAAAAGTCATATAGTTTTGGAAATATTTTTTCCTCATATTATTCAAATAATTTATTAGTGAAGCCATCTTGGTCTGGAGTTTTCTTTGTGACATCGTTTTTTTTTGTTTGTTTGTTTGCTGGTTTGTTCTTTTGAGTTGGAGTCTCACTGTGCTGCCCAGGCTGGAGGGGAGTGACACACTCATGGCCACCCCAGCTGCGACCTGCTGGGCTCCGGTGATCCTTCCACCTCAACCTTTCAAGTAGCCAGAGCTATAGGTGTGCACTACCATGCCTGGCTAATTTTGGATTTATTGTAGAAATGAGGTCTCGCCAAGTTGCCTGAGCTGGTCTCAAACCCGTGGGCTCCCAAATTGCTGGGAATATAGGCTGAGCTACTGATCCCGGCCTGTGGCATGGTTTTTAACAATGAATTCAATTTCTTTGACAGAATCCAGTTTCTATTTGTTTAGGTTATCTGTTCCTTCTTGCATGAATTTGTGTCTTTCAAGGAATGTGTCCATTTTGTCTAACATGACATATTGATAAGCATAGAATTGATCATAATATTTCTTTAATATCCTTTTACTACCTGTAGATATGTAGTGATATCACCTTCCTCATTTCTGATATTGGTAATTAGTCTTCTCTGTTTTTTTCCTGATCTTGCTAGAGATTTATCAGTTTTATTAATCTTCTTGAGCCAGCCTTTGCTTTTGTGGATTTTTCTCTTTTATTGATTTTCATTCTTTTCTTCATTATTTCCTTTCCTCTCACTCCGAGTTTAATTTGGTCTTCTTTTTTGTTTACTCTTTTATGTCTATACTTGGAAATCTCCAACTTGTGAAGTTTAGGTAAGAGTTTTCTATTCTCTTTGGCGTATGTCTGTGGTCTAGGAAAATCATATTTCTATGACAAATCACACCAATATATAAGTAGGCAAAATAACACATATTTTCTCAGATTGCCTTTCCCTTTGTTATTATTTTTCTATCAGTCTAAAGATCATGAAATAAATTACAAATAAAAACAATGGATCATCAAGCTAGGTGATATTGTGTTTTTCTTACATGTACAGTTGTTTTAAAATATTTGGGTTTTTTTTTTCAGCACTCATTATTTAAATATGCCTCCCTACTCCCCTTGAATCTAGGAACAAGCCTTTTTCTTTCTTTCTTTCTTTTTTTTTTTTTTTGAGGTGGAGTCTTACTCTGTCGCCCAGACTGGAGTGCAGTGGCCGCTCCCGGCCACCGCAGCCTCGACCTGCAGAACTCCGGTGATCCTTCCGCCTCAGCCTTCCAAGTAGCTGGAACTACGCACGCGCTACCACGCCCAGCTAATTTTTTGATTTATTGTAGAGATGAGGTCTCGCCAAGTTGCCCAGGCGGGTCTCGACTCTGCGGGCTCAGGCAGTCCACTCACCTCAGCCTCCCAAAGCACGGGATTACAGGCTGAGCCACCGAGTCCAGCTAACATTGCCTTTTTCTACTGCAGACTTTGTTTCTGGTTTATACTGGGAATACCATATTCCATCCTTATTTATCATTTTCAGCAAAAGCACATATATTATATGTGCCAATCTATTATATGTGCCAATCTATTATATGTGGTTAAATTTTCCCTCAAAAATAAGAGTAGCATTTTAATAAATTATTTGAGTTGCTCAATAAATGGGTTGGGTTTTCTGTGTTGGGATAGGGAGGTAGAAATAGACAAGTTTATATATATTTTAGACATTTCCACAGATAAATATCTCAGTATTCTTCTCAAGGCATATTTAGCCCTGTGATTACATTAATAGTTACTTTATTCTTAGGGACTTGCTAGATATTACTGATGATGATTATTCTACTTTGAATCATCTTGGACGATTGCCTAAAATCTTAAAAAGCCAATTTTGAAGTACATACATAATATGTGCATGCATTTTTTCTCTGTTAAAAAATTAAAGCATTATACATAAATCAGTGTTTACCACCACTGCCTCCTCAGTTCTCATTTTTTTCATTACCAGTTTGACAGATTTACATCTTGGGTTGATCTATATGAAATTGCCAACATTCAACCATTTCTGATCTGCAAAAACAGGACTTTCTTATGTTTCAATCTATTATATGTGCCAGGAAACAACATATAATGACTTTGCATGTTTTTACACCATAGCAGTATACTTTCGCTATTAGTAGTAGTAGTATTCTTGTACTATTCCACAGCTTATTTTTTCATTCCACCATGTTTCTTGATTTTTTATTTTTATTTTTTGAGAAAGCAGGATTTATTGAGAGGACAGCAAAGCTCCCACAGTAGGAGGGGACCCAAAAGGGTTACCTCGATGCCTTTTTTTTAATGGAACTGTTTATAAATTTCTACCTCTCTAATTTTTGGATGTTGCATAATTTTGTAGAGTTTGGATTTGCCTTGTTTTAGTTATGCCCTAATGATGAATATTTAGGTTACTTACAGTTTTTCTTTGTCATTAGTTTTATTGCTCTTACCATAACACTTCAGTACTGTTTATTAAAACTGCTGTTAAGCCGGGCTCGGTGGTTCAGCCTGTAATCCCGTGCCTTTGGGAGGCTGAGGTGAGTGGATTGCCTGAGCCCACGGGTTCGAGACCCGCCTGGCAGTGAGACCTCATCTCTACAATAAATCAAAAAATCAGCCGGGCATGGTAGCGCGCGCCTGTAATTCCAGCTACTCGGAAGGCTGAGGCTGAAGGATCGCTGGAGCCCAGCAGGTCGATGCTGCAGTGGCTGGGAGTGGCCACTGCACTCCAGTCTGGGCGACAAAGTGAGACTCCAACTCAAAAAACAACAACAACAACAACAAAAAAAACTGCTGTTAAATGTACTTATATTTAATAATATTACTGTAAGATATTATATTTAGTAAATCTTCTTTCAATCATTCCTTGAGAAAAGTAATTTTATTACTTTGTATTGACCTTGACTGTACAGAACCTATTGTGTTTCAGCTCTGTCTTTGCAGGCTAGGTTGTAAGCTTTTTAAGGAAACAGGATTGTATTTTATGGTTTTGGCATTGGTCTTTCTGTTCTCTTGTTAGAATGTCTAATTTAGAGCTTGTTTTCATAATACACACTCTGGAAATTATTAACAAGTAGGTAGGTACTTAGTGGATTTGGTCAAATATAACCAAGTCTAAAAAGGAGCAGTTATGGTTGATAATCCCTTGGCTAATACTGAAATGTTGATACATTTTTCAAAATATTCTACAGCAATGTTATGAGAATCACATGTGCAATTTAAAATTTCCTAGTAGCCTCATTAAAAAGTTACAGTGGACAGGTAAAATTAATTTTAATATATATCATTTTGACTGATATGTCTAAAATGCTACCATTTTAACAGATAATATATAATTATGTATTGCATTTTGTGCTTATAGCACATCTCAGTTTGGACTGGCTACATTGCAAGTGTTAAGTGTTACTAAAATAGAGTGGTAAATTTGTGTCTGCGTGTGTGTGTACACATATAATATTACAATTTTATAATTTCTTGATTTCTACTCTTACTAAATATAGGTTTTATATTTTCCCATTATGTTCTGCTCTGTAGGCATTGTTACTCTAACGAGACTATTAAGTAAAAAAGAAAATGTCATATTTCACGGTTTTATGGTAGTATCTTGACATTAATAATATTATTTGGCATTAGTCTTGAATTTGGCAAATAAACATGTTTTGAATATGTGTTTTACGAAGCTTTCCAGTTAAGTGTGCTATAAGTGAAAAATATAACTTTGTTTTGTGTATTTCGCTTTTTACAGGTGTCTGCTGCAGATATTTTATCAAATAAGGATGAAGAAGAAAACTCTATGCACAATACAGTTGTATTGTTTTCTAGTAGTGACAAGTTCACTTTGAATCAGGTTTGAGCTGAACTATTTACTGTCTTCCACTTTGAATGATTCCTTGCTCTTTATCTCATATGCACAGAAGTCATCTAATATGTAACTATAGAGCTGTGTAGTTAGATATTTTAAAAATAAAATTTGTATATTCTTAGCTTAATCTCCAATTAAAAAATATCTATACTTTTTATGTTTTTTTAATTTTTAGGATATGTGTGTAGTTTGTGGCAGTTTTGGCCAAGGAGCAGAAGGAAGATTACTTGCTTGTTCTCAGTGTGGTCAGTGTTACCATCCATACTGTGTCAGTATTAAGGTAAACATGCTTAAATTAAGTGAATTAACAAAAATGTATTGAATCTTGATTTGATTTGAGTGGTACCCTGCTGTTTCCAGTTCTTATAATTAACCAAGTATTTGTTGTGATTATTATACATGGCACAACATTTAAGTATGTTACGTACTTTAAATATTGCATTTAAGTGTTTTTTACCTCAAGAGATTAACTTCTGTGTATATCTGTGGTCTTAAATTGTACTAATATCTTGTTGTCTTGAAAAAGTAAAATATGAAAAGGCATGCATTTAACTTAATAGACACTTTATACTGTTATTTGCTAAGGTATTATGTTTTGTTTATTTGTTTTGCATATATATATTAAGAAGGTGAGAACAACTAGAGTACTTAGTAAAAATTCATTACCTCTTCTGGTTTCTTCCTTTACCCACACCCATATAAAAAAGGATATTTTCTCCTTATAACCGAAAGAAACAAAACAGATGTCACACTTAATGCAGTTCAGTAATAATCGAGAGTCAGCAATGCTCAGTTTCCAACCTTTTAGGATAGAGAATTAAGGGTGAACCTTTTAAATGATAATCATGTGATTGGTTTTAGAGGCTATTTAAATATGGACATGTCTCAGTGGTTACTGAAAGTAAACATGGAGGTATAGCTGTATAGTAAGGGTCTTGCTGTATACTACCGTACCAAATCCCTTCTAGTGTGGCTGTACTATGTGATATAAATACCAGCCTCTGTTTCTGTGTTCATGAATCATCTTGAACTTCCAAGTGGTTTTTATTCCTTTCTCCCTGGCTTTTCAAACATTTCTGTATTATTATATCATTGATTTACTTAAAATATCAGTATAGTAAGCAAATCAACATTGTCTTCCTGGGAATTCTTTGCTGATAATTGTACTCATATTTCTTTTCCAGGGTAATAAAGGTTTTGTTGAATTTGGAACTCAAAATAATTGTAATTAATCTATCCAAAATAGAAGACTACAACAGTTAATTTATATAGTCTTTTAAAATTAGTTTCTCAGTGTGTTAACTAAAAAAAGACACAAATTATATAAAGCCAATTTTTATTTTTATTTATTTATTTAAAAAAGTTTTTTTTTGGAGTTGGAGTGGCACTCTTGTCGGCCAGGCTGGAGTACAGTGGCACACTCACGGCCACCCCAGCGTCGACCTGCTGGGCTCCAGTGATCCTTCCACCTCAGCCTGCCAAGTAGCCAGAACTACAGGCGTGTGCTACCATGCCCAGCTAATTTTTGATTTATTGCAGAGATGAGGACTTGCCAAGTTTCCTGGGCTGGTCTTGTACCCGCAGGCTCAGGCATTCTACTCGCCTTGGCCTACCAAAGTTCTGGGATTACAGACTGAACCAGTTTTTAAAAGTAGAATTATATATGCATAGAGCAAAAGTTTTTCCTTCTTTGTATTCTTTTTTTTTTTTGAGTAGAAGTCTCACTCTGTCACCCAGGCTGGAGTGCAGTGGCATGTTCACGACCACCTCAGCCTCTACCTGCTGGGCTCAGGTGATCCTTTCATCTCAGCCTTTCAAATAGCTGGAACCACAGGCACATGCCACCACACCCGGGTGATTTTTCTTTTCTTTATTTTTTATTTACTGTAGAGACAAGATCTCGCCAAGTTGCCTAGGCTGGTCTCAAATGCCTAAGCTCAGGCTGTCCTCTCGCTTCTGCCTCCCAAAGTGCTGGTATTACAGGCATCAGCCACCGTGCCCGGCTTGTATCTTACGTATTCTAAATTCTCTATACCATTTTCTGCTGTTGTCATTACTTTTCTTTTTTTTTTTCTAGACAGGATCTTGTAGTGTCACTTAGGTTGGAGGGCAGTGGCATGGTAATAGCTCACCACAGCCTTGAACTCCTGTGCTCAGGTGATCCTCCCACCTCAGCCTCCTGAGGAGGTAGGAGTGTACCACCATGCCTGGCTGATTTGACTGGTTAATTGATTAGTTGATTTAAGTTCTTGCTGTGTTGTCCAGGCTGATTTTGACCTTTTAGGCTCAGGCAGTCTTTCCATCTCAGCTTTTCGAAGAGGTGACACTACAGGTATGCACCACCATGCCTGACTAATTTAAAAAAATTTTTTTTGTAGAGGCAAGTTCTTGATGTTTTGCCCAAGCTGATCTCGAACTCCTGGGCTCAAGCAGTTCTTTTACTTCGGCCTCCCAAAGTGCTGAGATTACAGGCATGAACTACTGTACCCAAGCTGGAATGCATCTCTTTTAACCTATCCAGTAATTACTAAATTCCTATTTTACAGATAAATGAAGTGAAACTTGCATAAGTTAAAATCAGACACTTAGTGCACTGTCAAATAGCTAGTTACTGGCAGAGTTAGAATTTAATTTTTTTTTTTAACTACGTGTGATGCCGTTTGTACTAGTATCATCAATTTGGACAGTACAGAAAACTACAACCCCATTGATAGAGAAATACAGGAATATCTAGAAACATCCTAGAGATATATGAATTGTTTAAGCTTGGGTTTTTGTGGTGGCAGGCAGTTGTTTGTGGATAAGTTTGATCCATTTAAAGCTTCTTTTTAAACTTTCTTTGGTAGATCTAGAAAGTCTTCACTCTAAGGTAGATATTTTCAAACTTTTTGGTCTTAAAATCTTAATATTCTTAAAAACAAGGATTATAACTAGAATATTTACCATTTTAGGAATTAATGTTGGGAACATTTAATAAAATATTGAAGCACAAATCATGTAACATCAGTGCAGTGATGTTATTATATAACATGCATCCTCTGCAAAACACCACTGTATGATTCTGAGTAAATTAAAGTGAAATGAGTAAATTACATCTTAGTATTATTATTTGAGATTGTTTTGACATTACAGACCCACTGGTCTTCCCTAGAGCACACTTAGGTAAGTGCCAATCCAGCACTGGTTTAACCCTCTACTTAAGATATGGCCTTTTTAGGATCTCGGCTGAGTTGCATTCCCTATCACTATTATCTCTTCAGTGATTGGTTGAGATTCACATGTCTTCCTGCCTATGTTCAACTTACAAATTCCCAGTAGGCGTTCTTTCCCCTGGTTGTGGGTCTTTGTTTGGTATTGTAGAAACACAGCTTTGTGTTCAGCCAAAGACTTAAAGGGAATTCTTTGTAGATTTCCAGAGCTATTACTCTTTATTGCTTCTTCATTTCCAATACTTTGTCCTGCAGATTCGAATTGTGTTGGTCTCCCTGAACTCCATCTCTTAAACTCCATGAGACCATTATACTCTGCTGGGGTTCTCCCTCCCTAGGCAGCATTTTGGAAGATGCTTATGGTCAAAATATCACAGGACTCATCTTGCATGTTTACTTCTCAGAGACCACAGTTCTGTACTATGTGTGTCCAAAATCTGAAAGCAGTTATTCCATACATCTCGCTAAATTTTCTAGTATCTTATGATGGGAGAAAAGATTGGTCCAAATTACTCTGTCACAGTTGAAGCAAATATCCTTTATAGACTAAAACATGTCTGTCACAACTTTGTACATGGTACTATGGTTGGAATCCTTGATAACAGCGTACTTGAAAAAACTCTTAAAAAAAATTAAGACTAAACTAGTCCTGTAGAAGAAAAATGAATTGATGATAGAACCCTAATATCTCGGTTAAGAGGAAATTTCAAAAAAGGAGACATGTTCAAGTGTTGAAGTACTGCAGAGAGGTCAAGTAATCAATTAGATTTGGGAGTCAGAAGGTCTTGACAAGTCTGGCATAAGCAGTTTCAGTGGACATGAGTGTAGAGACCAGAATGTAGTGTGTTAAAGAGTGACTATAAACTGAGTAACTTGAAAGTTTGGTTGTAAAAGGACAACAGGATAGGTATCTGTGAAATAAGAAAACTTAGGAATGATTATAAATATTTTCTATATTCTTCCACTGAATACTTTAGCTCCGTCTCCCATTTTATATTTAGGTCATACTTCTTTCTTCTAAGCCAGGGATTGGCAAAGTGGCTATAGGCTAAATCTAGCCCACTGGCTATTTTTACAGATAACTATTTTTTGGAACGTAGTCATATTCTTCTGCTTACATATGTCTGTGGTGGCTTTTCCACTACATTGGCAGAATTGTATAGTTTCACCAGATCATGTGACCCTCAAAATTTACAATACTTACTATCTGGCTCTTTATTGAAAAAGTTCACTGGCTGCTGCTGTAACCAATTCTACTCTTCCTTCCCTAGGCCCTTTCCTTCATTTTGGCAAATAATATTACAGCTTGGTAATTTGAGACTAATTTTTTTTTAAAGCAAGTGACATTAAAAGAATTATAATGGGCCGGTCTCGGTGGCTCAGCCTGTAATCCCAGCACTTTAGGGAGGCCGAGGTGAGTGGATTGTCTGAGCCCACGGATTCGAGACCTGCCTGGGCAACTTGGCGAGACCTCATTTCTACAATAAATCAAAAATTAGCCAGGCGTGGTAGTGCGCACCTGTAGTTCCAACTACATGGAAGGCTGAGGTGGAAGGATCGCCGGAGCCCAGCAGGTCGAGGCTGCGGTGGCTGGGAGCGGCCACTGCACTCCTGTCTGAGTGACAGAGTGAAAAAAGAATTATAATCAACAACCAACCCCTGTCTTACTCTGCCTCCATGTCTGAGACAACCACTTTTAATCTTTTTGGGTTCTTTTTCTTATAGTTAGTGCTATAAATGAATAAGAAGCTGGTACTACTGCTTTATCAATATTAGATTTTGTTAACTTCCTGCTATGAATAAATAAATACTGGTTTAGCTTTAAAATATTACTCCTGCACTCTCCCAGCATTCTCATAGTATGGTTATATTACTACATTTAGTTCAATTAGTAAGGTGTTGGTTATGACTCAGTAAATAAATCTGCAGATACTATGAGTTTCTTTCATTTTACATGGAACTTTTAATAGCAAGAGGAAAAATAATCATTAGCGACTCTCTGTTCATTATTTTGTTTTTGCCTACTATGGTAGAGCTATATCATATCAGATTGTTTGTCAAGTACCCTTTTTTCTTGCCCTGCCCTCTTCTTGGACATTGCATTCCCCTCCTCTCATTTGTGTCACTAGTTTCTAGATGCTCTAGTTTCTAGACTCAACTTTCATCCTTATAGTTTCCTGGCCTGGTGTCCTTTGTTCAATTAATCCACTGGCTTCTGGATCCCATATCTTCCTTTCCTGTATATATGTCCTCATTCTGTTCCACATGTCTCTATGTAACTTTATTAGAAGGAGTATAGGAGCTAAATTTTGAGTCCTTTCATGTCCAAAAGGTATTGTGCCTTCACACTTAATTGCTTGTTTAGGTTAAGAATTGTACTTTGAAAAGTAATTTGGAACTTATATTCTTGCATCTGAAGTTGGAAGTTAGATATCTTTCCAATAGGTTGTCCTCTGAATATGCTTCTATTATTTTCCTCTCTGGTAGCTTTTAGCCTTCCATATACCTCATGATCTGATGTTTTATCCTGTACTTTGATTTCTTGCTGTTTCATTATATTGCAAGCGCTTTTTGGTCCTTTATCTGTATAGACTCTAGTCTTTTGAGATCTTTAAAAAGTTAATTTCAAATTCCTAATATTGTGTGGTATGGCTTCTCTGAGGAGTTTATCAGGAATGTAGAGATTCTCAAATTTTCTGCTAACTTAGACCCTTAAGACAGGAGAATAAACAAAGGAGTGAATGTGAACTTCAGAAGTTCAAACTTCATAGCCTGAAAGTCCTCCAAGATCATAAAAATATTTCTGAGAACTCTTGTTTTACCATAATTTTTTGGTATTTTTTCTATTAATTTTAATATGCAAGTCCTGATGTGATGCACACAAGTCTCAGAAGCATGGAATTATTGGAAATGTCATAGATGGAGACTTTGATACATTTTTCAAATTTTATATCAGTAATAATGGGGCAGCTTACTTGACAGCTTTAAAATCCAGTTGTCATATCTACAAATACAGTGTACAAGGTAATTATGTGGACTTAAAAAACTCGAAAAGACACTAAAATATGTGCCACTTTCTATTATTCTGCTTAGTAGGTGGTCTTTCAAAAGTATATATGAACATGGCCAGCCCAGTATTGCGCCACCATAGATGCTCAGTAAATGTTAGTTGCTTGTCTCTTTTCTGTTTCTGGGTACATAAGCACCATATTAGTTTATATAGTACATTTAATTATGCAAGATGAGGTCTAGGCTAATATGTAAATCACATGGATTGGTTGTTTCTTTTACAGATCACTAAAGTGGTTCTTAGCAAAGGTTGGAGGTGTCTTGAGTGCACTGTGTGTGAGGCCTGTGGGAAGGCAACTGACCCAGGAAGACTCCTGCTGTGTGATGATTGTGACATAAGTTATCACACCTACTGCCTAGACCCTCCATTGCAGACAGTTCCTAAAGGAGGCTGGAAGTGCAAATGGTACTCTAGGATTTATGCTTCCCTTGTTAGTCTTTCAAGTTTAGAACTTTCTCATATCACTTTACTTTTAAAAAGCCACATCTGTGTAATTGCGTACTACTACACATTCCCTATGATATCACTAATCAGAAAAATCTTCACATACACACTAAATGATTTCTCCCAGTTCTGTTCACATGTAGCTTCCTGAATTGCATACGTAAATAAAATTGAGACTTCTGCGGGGGGGTGTTTGAATTTCAGGTGTGTTTGGTGCAGACACTGTGGAGCAACATCTGCAGGTCTACGATGTGAATGGCAGAACAACTACACACAGTGTGCTCCTTGTGCGAGCTCATCTTCCTGCCCGGTCTGCTGTCGAAACTATAGAGAAGACGACCTTATTCTGCAGTGTAGACAGTGTGATAGGTATCATGCTACTTTTTATCTTTTGCAAGCTTTACTTTCTCAAATGTAGTCAAAGGACATTGAAAGAAAACCTTAAGTTTAAAAACTGTTTGCTCTGCAGATTTTCTCTACCTAGAAACTTACAGAAGTGATTTTCTGTTTTGAATTCTCAATTCCAAACTGACAATTTTTAACTTGGAAATTTTTGAGGGTTTATGAATCACTTGAAATACATGCCCGCATATATGAATTTTCTCATGGAGGGTTTCTCATCTTTTATTAGATTTTAAAAAGTATCTCACACATTCTGTTTTTCTTAAACTACTTTTTCTTAAAGCTCTAGATACTAGGTAGCTAGGTTTTAGATAGCATCTCCAAACTCCTTGAGTAGTATGTATACAGCTTCAAAATCAAGAATGTTTTCTTTGCTTTCATTGGTATATTGTTGTACTGTTAGAAGTTAAGCAGCACACATGTATTATTAATAGTATTATTTTATCAATCATAAAGCATACTCAGGACTTTGCCTACAAATTCTTTGTTCCAAGGCAAGACAACTTCTTAGCTTTATTTTCTAATTACCATTCAGCATCACTTTACATGAACAGTGCATTTCAAATTAGATGCATCGCATGGAGCACATACATATTATGCCATTTGTAGTCTTCTCAATTCCTTTCTGCTCGCCCTAACTAGCTTCTTTGCTGTCTTTGAAATAGTCACTGTATGATCACAAAATAATTATCACATCTACTTTATATAACGTGCTTTGCTTCCCCTGTAGAACTTGTTATCAAGTCCCTGCCCCTCTTCTCAGCTCTATGGAAGTTTGTATATGTCAGTAGGGATACTTAGGAGAAAAGGGTAAGATGGGCAAGGTGGGAGCAACACATAAAGCTTAGGACTTTTAATTTTGAAGACAGCTTTTGTTACAGTTTTTAAAAGGAAACAGTTCTTAGTATATTCAATTTTTTAAAAATGTGCAAATATGGTCTTTTTAGATGGATGCATGCAGTTTGTCAAAACTTAAATACTGAGGAAGAAGTGGAAAATGTAGCAGACATTGGTTTTGATTGTAGCATGTGCAGACCCTATATGCCTGCGTCTAATGGTAAGAGAATAATTTGACTGTGAGTCTGTGTTCTCCTGAAGCTCACCTTGTTGTCTGTAACCAATGAGTTGACATAGCTCTACTCCTTTTTTATCTTTGTGAAACTTATTTGGACAAGTGTTTTATGAAAAATAATGTTTTTGGTATAAATTGTTACTATTCCAAATTTTTGTAAACCAGTTTGCATGAAGGAATAATACAAAGCATACATTTTAGATATAAAGTATAATTTTACTTGTAAGGAACATGATCTTGTAATTATTAGCAACATGTAGAGACCCAATACATTGATTCTTTCTTTGCCAGGTTTTCCTTTCTGACTTGTGTACGTCCTTTACCACTTCTCCTCATTGTGTGTTGTTGTTGTTGTTTTAAAAGACCACTTTTAACTCTAGTGATCAAGCATTTATTTTAGTAAAATGGGTACAGAAATGGAAATTTTAATTATATGTGTCTTTAAATACACTTTACCTTTACTGAAAAAAATTACCTGCATTTTTTTTGTTTCAGTGCCTTCCTCAGATTGCTGTGAATCTTCACTTGTAGCACAAATTGTCACAAAAGTAAAAGAGCTAGGTAAAATGTGAAATGCTTTACTTGCTTATTTAATTTACTCTAATTAATTTACCTTGCTTAATTTGTATATAATTGGCTTGCCACATGTGAAACCTGCTTTAATCACAAAATGTTCTTATTCAGCTTTACTGGGGCAGTATTTCTATAATTTCAGCAAATAGGCAATGGAAAAGAACGGCTTTTAGAATAACATAAATGCCATACTTGCTTTGTTTTCATTGATAATTAATGTGCTTACTTATCATTTAGTGAGGAAAAAAAGACTAGTTTACAAGCAGGTTCTTTTTAGAATTAATTCAGTCTCTTATTGTTTATTGTAGTAGATCAGTCTACAATCGTGATTAATATCATACTCATAAAATGATCTTTTTTTGAATACTTATATTTAGTAGAACCTGATACGTAAACATGTGGACAGTACTGAAATTGTTCTAAGAACAGCAGTTTTGTACATTTGGAAATAGTCCTTTGCACTCAGAGAAATCTCATGGATCACCTACCAGCAGTTCAGCTGCACTTTTTTTTTTTTTTACAAAATAGTGAAAAACAAATCACTTCCTATTGAATAGTGTATGGCATTGGAACCAATTATTTATTGTAGTGATGTTTGACTTACAATGGAATTTTGGACATTGAGGAGTTTATTTATGCCCAAAATTCAGAATTTATCTTATATTATTCTAACATCTGATAACGATGCCTTCAGCTTTGAAAGTGTCTTTCTTTTAAGGCTACAGTAACTTGCTTATCTGTCTTTTCAAGTTATGCCATGTGATCCAAAGGGTATACCCACAGCTGCCTTTCTTATGCAAGTGCTCTTTTTCACTACCTTCTATTACAAAGAAGTCTTGGGCACCACTGTGAAAGCACTTCACACATTCTTTTTTTTTTCTTCTGAGTTGTAGTCTCACTCTCTTGCCCATGCTGGAGTACAGTGGCACACTCACAGCCACTGCAGCCTCAACCTGCTGGACTCAGGCAACCCTTCCACCTCAGCCTTCCAAGTAGCTAGAAGTGCAGGCATGAGCCACCACAACTGGCTAATTTTTTTTATTTATTGTAGAAATGAGGTCTTGCCAAGTTGCCCTCGCTGGTCTCAAACCTATGGGCTCAGGCAGTTCTCTCATCTCCACCTCCCAGAGTGCTGGCATTATAGTCGTGAGCCACCATGCCCAGCATACATTCTCTTTTTATGTACCACCAGCTGATATTTTAAAATGTATTTCTCAGTATATATTCCATCTCTTGCAATTTGAGTGGAAAACTTCAAGGAAACATACATTTTTGAAAACTTTGCACTGGCATAAGTTTTTCCGGTATAATCACCAGCAGTCTCTTTATGTCCCAATAGTGAATATCCAAGTGACTTGCTAGATTTACAATGTCCCCTTAGGGGGGACATCCAAGTGCAAAGGGTTAAATCTACAGGGTTTGTTCTTATTTGCTTCCTCGCCATGTAAGTAATTATATTGATACTTTGGTTTCCAAATGGGCTTTTAGAATATTCTTTTTTCTTTTTATAAATTGATTTTTATCTTTTGGTCTCTTCTAGGAAAGGGCTTATAGTGGATTAGTTAAAGCATTGCATTTAACTTCAGTGCTTTTTTAAAAAGTCGTTTATTGAAACATGAAAGTAAAAATGCCAGAAACACCAGTTTTTGAAAACATGCAACTTTCCTGCCTATAAATCCAAGAAAGTTTGACCTATTATTCTAGTTTTAATTGGACATGGTTAATTATTCATGCATTTCAAAGAAACATAATTGTTTTGAAGCACTATAGTCACATTCCCTTGACATGCATATTTTGTAATGATAATCTATCAGTCAAATTTAAAATGAAATTTAAAATTTTTATTCTTGGGATTTTGTAATTTTAGACCCACCCAAGACTTACACCCAGGATGGTGTGTGTTTAACCGAATCAGGGATGACTCAGTTACAAAGCCTCACAGTCACAGTTCCAAGAAGAAAGCGATCAAAACCAAAATTGAAATTGAAGATTATAAATCAGAATAGTGTGGCTGTCCTTCAGACCCCTCCAGACATCCAGTCAGAGCATTCAAGGGACGGTGAAATGGATGATAGTCGAGGTAATACCAATTTATTTTTCATGAAATAAGTGTGCAAGAATGAAAGCATATAACATAACTTTAGAAATATGTATTATTAGGGGTAAAATACACTGACTTAGAGAACCTTTGATGTGACACTCTCCCCCCCTTTTTTTTTCTTTTTTTTTTGAGTTGGAATCTCACTCTGTCACCCAGACTGGAGTGCAATGGCTGCTCCTGGCCACCGCAGCCTCGACCTGCTGGGCTCCGGTGATCCTTCCGAGTAGCTGGAACTACAGGTGTGCAGTACCACGCCCGGCTAACTTTTGATTTATTGTAGAGATGAGGTCTCGCCAAGTTGCCCAGGTGGGTCTCGAACCCGCGGGCTCTGGCAATCCACTCACCTCAACCTCCCAAAGTGCTGGGATTACAGGCTGAGCCCACGAGCCTGGCCTGACACTCTCCCTTTCTAAGTGGGCAGTCTTCTTAGACCTTGCCTTTCTGGGTTCTCTGCCTTTCGTGTATCTTCTTAGAAAGTCCTAGCTTATAGAAATCTCAAGGAGCACCATATCTTTGAAGATTACAGGTGGGGAAATTCTGAGGGCTTGACTTTTGTTTGCTAAATATCATCATTAAGCCTTCTCAATGCTGGGAAATTGGTACTGTGTTTAAGTTAAAGTAGAACTTGACTCAAGCTTGTAATCCCAGCACTTTGGGAGGCTCAGATGAGAGAATTACTTGAGCCTAGGAATTTGAGACCAGTCTGGGAAACATGGCGAGACCTCTTAAAATTAGTCGGGCTTTCTGGCAGGTACCTGTAGTTCTAGCTACTTGGAAGGCTGAGGCTGGAGGATCACCTGCGCCCAGCAGGTCAAGGCTGCGGTGGCCGTGAGTGTGCCACTGCACTCCAGCATGGGTGAGAGTGAGACTTGAATTAAAAAAAAAAATAGAACTTGATCTGTGTACTTCAGAATGGAAAAACTGTTGCTAATATTACTTCAAGTGTAAATTTACATTTACAAGTGTTTATCACAAATTATTGGTTTGTAAACTTTTTCTTGATCATAGTAAATGTAAGGTCTTTCTAGCTGAATTCTTGAGGTAGCAAAATATTTTAGTAGTAATATTAAATTCATTACAAGTTATATTTTTGCTTATTCTGAAAAAGGATTGCTATAAGCTTACTTATTTTTAGGGTGGCTATTTTTTCCCCCAGCATATTCTGAAATAGAGTAATAATTATTTTTCTCTTGTTATAATTTATTTAATAGTATTTTTTTTTGGTTTTTATTTTTTATTTGTTGGAATCTCACTCTTGTTGCCCAGACTGGAGTGCAGTGGCACACTCATAGTCACCACAGCCTCGACCTCCTGGTCTTAGGCGATCCTTCCGCCTCAGCCTTCCAAGTAGTTGGAACTACAGACACATGCCATCATGCCCATCTAGTTTTTTTGTGATTTATTATAGAGATGTGGTCTCACCAAGTTGCCTAGGTTGCTCTCGCACCCCCAGGCTCAGGCAATCTCCTCACCTCGGCCTCCCAAAGTGCTGGGATTACATGCTGAGCCACCATGCCCAGCCAATACTCTTTTTTTTTTGAGTCAGAGTCTCACTCTGTCGCCCAGACTGGAGTGCAGTGACTGCTCCTGGCCACCGTGGCCTCGACTGCTGGGCTCCAGAGATCCTTCCGCCTCAGCCTTCTGAGTAACCGGAATTACAGGCGTGCGCTACCATGCCCAGCTGATTTTTTTTTTTGATTTATTGTAGAGAGGAGGTCTTGCTGCCCAGGTGGGTCTCGAACCCACGGGCTCAGGCAATTCACTCACCTCAGCCTCCCAAAGGCGCGGGATTACAGGCTGAGCCACCGAGCCTGGCTTTTTTTTTTTTTTTAAAGATATGAGGTCTTGCTATGTTGCCCAGGATGATCTCAAACTCCTGGACTCAAATGATACTCCTGCCTCAGCCTTCCAAGTTGCTGAGACTACAGGTGCATGCCATCACACCTAGCTTTTATTCAGTTAGTATTTATTGAATGCTTATTGTGGGTCAGGTATTGGAAATTATCTCAATGAGCAAAGCAAATGAAATTCTGTGCTCATAGAGAATATTAGGAGGCAACACTTTAAAAAAAATATGTAACATAATAAATCAGTTAATTATAATGTGTTTGGCAAGTGCTATGGAAAAAACAGAGCTTGATTAAGAGATGTTGAGTATGCAGACCGGGCTTGTGGGGCCATATGAACTGAAAGCAGACATTACAGAGATGGGTGGGTGAGACTTGATTACCCGAGGAAGAGCATTCTAGGCAATGAGAAGTCCGGTGCAAAGGCTCTGGCTGAGAGTGTGGTGAGCATGCTTGAGGATTGTTGAGCAAAGGGAACAGATGATAGGAGGTGATGAGATTAGAGATGTGAGGACAGGATGGTCGGCTCAGTAGTTCATGCAGGGACATAAGGTGATGTGTAAGGAGTTTGCACTTAATGGGAATGAAATGGAAGACTGTTGAAAGTTTCTGAAGAGAAGAGAGCCATGATCTTATTTATGTTTAAGAGGAATGTTAGGCTGTGATGTGAATATACTAGTAGGTGCAAGAGTTGTTGCAAGTAGATCAGTTAGGAAGCTGTTGCAGTAGTCCAGGTGAAAGAGAATCATGGCTTAGAAATTATGTCTTTTGTATGTCCCATCCTCACATTTCTTTGTAGTTGTGTGCTTTGCATCTGTGTTGCTGGAGAAAAACTTTCTGATGCATATACATAACTGACTTTCATATACATACCATTGATCACAGAACCTGATTTTGAAGTTTGGGGTGTGAGGTTTGTGAAGAAATAGTTCATATGCTTGGAGAAATTGATCAGATCAGCATTAGCAGAGTATATTGGAGAATCTTATCTTCTGAGGACATTGCAAAGTGTCTGAAAAAGGATTCCATGGTCACTGAAATTTGGAAAAAGCTAAATTCACAAACTATAAAAGATTTCTTTTTTAAAATTTTATTTTAGATTCAAGGGATACGTGAGTGAGTTTGTTACATGAGTATATTGCATGATGGTGAGGTTTGGGCTTCTGTTGAGCCCATAACCCAAGTGGTAGGCATAGTACCCAATAGGTAGCTTTTCAGCCCTTTTCCCCTCCCTCCCTTTCCCCTTTAGAAGTCCTCAGTGTCTATTGTACCCATCCTTGTGCTTGTATTCAGCGTTTGCTTCACTTGCAAGTATGAAAATGACATATTTGGTTTTTTGTTTCTGTGATAATTTGCCTAGAATGATGGTCTCCAACTGCATCCATGTTGCTGCAAAGAGCATGAGTTTGGTTTGGTTTTGTTTTGGTTATGTAGTATTCCAATGTATAGTATATGTACATTTTCTTTAGTTCACTGTTGATAGGCACTTAGGTTGGTTCCAAGTTTTTGCTTTTGTGGATAGTGTTGCGATAAACATGAGTGCAGGTGTCTTTTTGGTACAGTGATTAGGTATATACCTAATAGTGGAATTACTGTGTTGAATGGTAAATCTGTTTTTAGTTCTTTGAGAAATCTCTGAACTGCTTTTCACAGGGGTCGAACTAGCTTACATTCCTATCAACAGTGTGTGAGTGTTCCCTTTTCTCCACAACCTCACCAACTTGTATTGTTTTTGGCTTTTTAAAAAATTTACAGCAAGTTACTTAACTTTTCTAATGCTTAGTCTTCCTATTTGTAAAATATGTGTAGTAGTACCAACCTCACAGGATAGTTGTGCTGATGAATTGTAAGGATACGTCAGGCACCTAGAACTGGTGCTTCCCACAAATGGAATACTCAGTAACCGCGAACTGTTAGAATAGTCGTACTAAATCAGTGCTTCAGAAATAATGATATTTCTGTGTCCGACCAAACTTGGCAAAATTCCACACTTGTATTAATGTGTGATGTAAGTTATTTTCAAGTTAGTAGTAAAAGAATTATGCCTGTGTTCATCTTATTTGAACACTTAGGATCGGGGGTTGTCTGCCACAGTCATTCACTCGACTGAATGTTTCCATGTCTTTTTGTGTATTTTGGAAGTTGTGGAAAAATTATAATGAAAGAATGTGTAAGCCTGTTGCTTTGTATTGTAAAGTCATATCTGATGGTTTACTTTATTAAAATGTAAAATATATTAGGGCAAGACTGGATGATTTTAAAAATAAAGTTTGAAAAGTAGTGTTATCTAGAAAAGATCTTCAGCTGTGCAGTTTTTACCTTAAGGTTGTCAGAATGTTATATTGTGCATTATATTACACACATAATTTTATACATTTTAGACTCTGCTGGAGTCCACAAAATTTACATTGTGCTGCTTCGGATGATCTTTTAAAAAACTCTTTTGATAAGTGCTTTTTAAAGAAAAGTCATAGATCATCACCTTAGTGTATAAGAAACAAATTCCTTGCGCAATAAAAGGAGGCTTCTTTCCAACTCACTGGGATCTAAAAACAGCATTAAGAGAAAAATTGAAAATGCCTCAAAACAAAAAACACTAGCCGGTCGTGGTAGCGCGCGCCTGTAATTCCACCTACTTGAAAGGGTGAGGCGGAAGGATCGCTGGAGCACAGCAGGTCGAGGCTGCGGTGGCCGGGAGCGTGCCACTGCACTCCATTCTGAGTGACAGAGTGAGACTCCAACTCAAAAAACAAACACACACAAACAAGGAAATATGCCATGCCTCTGCAGAGTGGGGTCACAGCACTTTCCCCCTTAATTGCTGACCATCAGAATAGACTGTCACAATGTAAGGGGGTGTTTGGAGGTGTCGTTTGTGCTCTCTTAGAGTGATAGGTGGTCTTGTGAACCTAGCTCCAGTACTATCTTACGACCCAAATCACGATTTATATTATTAATTTTGGGATTTCCTCTTTATCTTCTTGGAGATCATCTTTTCTCTTTTGTGCTGCATGTGTTTTCTGCAAATTCATGAATTTCTCATTTTCCCCTTCATTTTGGGTAAAATGTGTCTTCCATAGCTCCCTGAGAGAGAGAATATATGGAAGGTAAGTTTGAGAGATTTTGTACTTCTGAAAATGTCTTTACTTTACCGTCTTACTTGATTGATCTTTTCCAGATTGGAAATAAATTTCTTTTGGCATTTTGAGGTCATTGATCCTGTTGTCCTTTAGTTTCTAGTATATCAAGAACTTGATTCTTTTTATGTTACGCACTGTATTTTCTCTGGAAGCTCTTAGGATTTTAGGAAATTCTTTGTCTCTAATGTTCTGAAATTTCATGATATGTCTGTTTTCATTTATTTTGGTTATTTTTTCTTGTGTTTTGCCAGTTTCTGAGTGGTCCCTTTCAGTCTGCCACCTCATACCTTTAGTCATAGGAAATGTTCTTGATAATTATTCTCTTTTTCCATAATCCTGCATTTGAGACGTGAAGCTTACTCAACTGGTTCTGCTTTTTTCTCTGCTTCTTTCCAATTCTTGTTCTTATTTTGTCTTCCTCATTTTGTCTTCCTCTACTGATTTTTTGTTTGTATATCAATTATCATGTATTAAATCTCAGAGAATTGTAATTTTTTTAAAGATTTTTTTCTTTTTGCATAGTCTGCTAATTCCAAATTGCCTTTTATGTTCTCAGGCCTTTGTCTTTTGTGTTAGTAGATCATCATCCGATAATCCTTAATTGCAGATGCATGATTAAAAGTGAGGAGCTTGGATTGCCTGAGCCCGCGGGTTTGAGACCCGCCTGGGCAGCGAGACCTCATCTTTACAGTAAATCAAAAAATCAGCCGGGCATGGTAGTGCATGCCTGTAGTTCCGGCTACTTGGAAGGCTGAGGCGGAAGGATCGCCGGAGCCCAGCAGGTCGAGGCTGCGGTGGCCGGGAGCGGCCACTGCACTCCAGTCTGGGCGACAGAGTGAGACTCCAACTCAAAAAAAAAAAAAGTGAGGAGTTAAAAATGAGGAGTGGATAAATAAGTTGATAATCTTTTTATTTTTATTTTTTTAAAGGAATTAATACTTGATTAGAAAGCTTTGAGCATGTGGATAGTACCTGTTGGTTTTAACTTTTGTGGGGTTATCGGTGTTGACCTTATGGGGAATCCCCTAGTTTCATTGTCCTTAGATGTTTTTGAACTGATCAGGTTCCCCAGAATAATCTTTTCAGGTGTCATACTTGGAGTGTAGAGATATGGCTACTAGCTTTCTGGGAATTTAATGGGGAAAAGGCATGGGCGTTGGTGGGGGATGAGACTGTTCACATTTAGCATGCCTATGATCCCTTGATCCTGTTATTCAGACCCTTCACTTATTGTTTGGTTTAGGTCCACGAGTCCTGAGTTGTAGAAGTTAGAGCGGCAACTTCTCAGTGTGTGAAGTTAGAAGAAGGCATAGGGAATATGACATCTGTAGGAAATGTAAATAAAGCTGTCATTGTTTCAGACTTTCCCAATCATTTCCAAAGGTACCCATTTTTGCCAGTTCCTCAGCCCTTTTCCCCCCAGTTATTTCTACTTTCAACTAAGAATTTGCATTTTCATTTATTTTTCTGCTTCTGCTTTCAAAATTGTGACTTTTCTCCTTTCTTATTTTGTTTCTTGGTTATCTTATATGTATCTATTTATTCTTTAAAGAGATGGGATCTCACTCTGTTGCCCAGGTTGGAACGCAGTGGTGCAGTCATAATTCACCACAGCCTCAAATTCCTGGGCTCAAGTGATCTTCTGCCTCAACCACCCGAATACTTGGGACTACAGGTGCTTGCCATTGTGTCCTGCCTTGATTTTATGTTTTAAAAATAGATTGCTTCAGCCGGTGGCTCCCCAGCACTTTGGGAGGCCAAGGCGAGTGGATTGCCTGAGCCCTTGGGTTCGAGACCAGCCCAGGCAACCTGGCGAGACGTCGTCTCTACAATAAAATAAAAAATAGCCAGGCGTGGTAACACGTGTCTGTAGTTCTGGCTACTTGGAATGCTGAGGCGAAGGATCGCTGGAGCCCAGAAGGTCGACACTGGGGTGGCCGTCAGCGTGTGTGCCACTGCACTCCAGCCTGGGCAAAGGAGTGAGACTCCAACTCTAAATAAATAAATAAGCAAGCAAGCAAGCAAATAAATAAATAAATAAAAATAGATTGCTTAAATTGTTTTTAGTAGGGTTTCAGAAGAGTGAAGTTAATACATAAATTTAGTCTTCCATCTTAACCCAAAATTCTCACTCATTAACTTTTGTATGTTTTTATTTGGAGGTAAGCAATTGGTATTTTGTTATTTTTGGCGCTTGGTACATTTTAGTAAATAAACATTTGTTTTCATGGCTTAGAACTTTATAGAGCAGTAATAGGTTGTTATGGAATTGGCCTCAAATGTAGACATAATATAATCAAAAATTAAAAACAAAACAAAACCAAACCCTGTTCATGGTATTTCAGAAATGTGTTTCCTATAATATTCATAATATTGAAGAAAAGAGTTAAACTGTACTTGATAAACCTGTCTTTTTCCTATAACAGGAAGTATATGCATATATGTGTAAAGCATATACAACTTTAAAAAATATAATTATCATCGAGTTACAATAGCATTCTCTAAGACCTGAACTTCTTTTTTTTTTTTTGAGGTGAAGTCTCACTCTGTCACCCAGGCTGGAGTGTAGTGGCATACTCACAGCCACCCTAGCGTTGACCTGCTGGGCTCTGGCTTCCACCTCAGCCTTCTAAGTAGCTGGAGCTACAGGCGTGCACTACTGCACTCAGCTAATTTTTGATTTATTGTAGAGACGAGGTCTCGCCAAGTTGCCCTGGCGGATCTCAAACCCATGGGCTCATGCAATCCACTTGCCTCGGCCTCCCAAAGTGCTGGGATTACAGGCTGAGCCACCAAACCCAGCCAAGACCTGAACTTCTATATGTATTACTTAATTTTGTTTACTTCATTCAGCAAAATATTAAATACCTTTTAGGTACCCTGCTAAGAATGAAGCTGTTAATAAGACAGTCTTAGTACTTTATCTCATGAAGAATATATAGTCTAGCAGGGCCACAGACTTTAAAAACCAATTAAAAATGAAACATATCACTATAGGCGTATATAAGTGTGAGACATAACCTTGTCTAAATATCAGAAATTCTTTAATACAATGATGGTCAGAATAAATCTTGAAGGATGAGTTAGGTAGAAGGCAGAGATTGGGGAGATTGTGGAAGAAAGAGCTTGATTTGTTCCAGGATCTGAATATAGTTCACTGAGGTGAGATGAAGCTGGAGTGAGATGAAACTGGAGAGCTCACAAGAGACTGCTACTACAGTGGGCCTTGTAATACGAACTTATTTTGAGAGAGTTGGGAGACATGAAAGGAATTTAAGCAGAAAATTGAAATATATTTATAGAATGATCATTTATGCTGTAATTTAAGTAACTGATTGGAGAGGAGTAAGCTTTGAGTCAGAGAATTAGGAGCATTGGCAGTAAATCATCTGAGATTGGACTAAGATGGTAGTAAGAGAGTAATAAGATGCTTTTCATAGTTATTGGGGAGTCGCAGTTGTGAAAGAAGAGAGATTAGGAATGGTCAAGACTGTCTTCCAGGCTTCTGTCTTATCCACATTACATTTCTATGCCTTTTAATGATGGTAGCTAACACAAGGAAAGTGAGAAAGTTCATTTTAAGTTAGTAGTTCATGTTGGATATACAGTTTTCAGTAATTGGGTAATATTTAATTACAGCTGTGGTTGGAGCTCGTAAGAGAGTTTTAGGCTAGAGAGATGACCTTGGGTTTCTGGAGTTGAAGATAAAATTAAAAGCAAGTGAATGATTTGTTAGAGTGCTGTTTGATTGATTGTTGCCTTTCTGAGCTCCCTTTATGTTTCCCTTTCCCTGATTCTTGTATTCAATTTCCTGAGAACACTGCATTAAGCAGTACAATTTCTGTAACCATGTAGGGGCTTTTCTGTCTTTTTACGTTCACTACCAGCTGGGATGCACAATTAAAATGGCTTGGTGACCACTTTGCTTGTATTTCCCATTTTGTAAGTAATATGTATTGGCTAAGTTTTTTCCAATTTTGTGTGCATGCTTTTTGCAGAAGGTGAACTTATGGATTGTGATGGAAAATCAGAATCTAGTCCTGAGCGGGAAGCTGTGGATGATGAAACTAAGGGAGTAGAAGGAACAGATGGTGTCAAAAAGCGAAAAAGGAAACCATACAGACCAGGTATAGTGCCTGAGCTACACATTTTAATATAAGCAAAACTCAGTTAATTTTTAAAAAATACAGTATTGATGACTTCAATTATAGTTCAATAATCAGGATTAAGCATAGCATTGTAAGTGTTGAAACTAAAACTTGTGTGTATAAATTAAAGAATTGAACTGAATATATGTTTTAGCTAATGAGTTCCTTAGGTTGAGTATGTGAATACTTCACAATGAATTATTATTTAATGCCATATCCCAAATATTAACCTTTTTATTAAATATTTTACTAGATTGATTTCTATTTCTAGTTGGACTTGTAAGGCCGTTTACATATCTTCTTTTGATGTGTACTCTTGTACACATTCACTTCCTATTATTTTTATGTTCTTAAAACTTATTTCAGTATTTATGTAAGATTGCAAGTATGCAGCATGAAGGTGAACAAGACAGAATTCTTATGCCTCCTAGAATTATAGTCCAGTGACTACCACAAATTATTAAATACTCTTATTTCCTGTCCGCCTCAAGTGGAGACAAAAGCCGTCTTACTCCTCAAATTTTATTTACCTTATTGGAAAAAATTATGGAAATTGTCACAGAAGTAGTAGGCTTTCTTTTAGGTAGTATAGTAATGTCCATTTACCAATCAGTGAAGTATTAATTTGGATCAGTATAGTCTTTTTTCTTATTGCATTTATCTGTTGGTAAGCATGATCAAAACCCCTTTTGATATGTAAGGAAGAACTTTCTCACTGCATTTGTATTCTATAGGACCTTAAAAGAGTCTTTCGTATAAATGGGTCACATGTATGATAATAAGAACTTAAGATTAGTTTCATCCAAACATTTTATGAAAATAATTTCTTTTTTATTTTTGAGTTGGAGCCTCACTGCATCACCCAGGCTAGAGTGCAGTGGCACGCTCACGGCCACCCCAGCGTCGACCTGCTGGGCTCCGGCAATCCTTCTGCCTCAGCCTTCCAAGTAGTAGGAACTATAGGCACTCACTACCATGCCCAGCTAATTTTTTATTTATTGTAGAGATGAAGTCTCACCATCTTGCCCAGGCTGATCTCGAACCTGTAGGCTCTGGCAGTCCTCTCACCTCGGCCTCCCAAAGTACTGGGATTATACGCTTGAGCCACCAAGCCCAGCCTCATTTTTTTTCTTAATTATGAAGCTTATACATTTTCGATATTGCAAGTTCCTTCCAGGAACTTATGTTTAATGTATTTTCTTCTCTGCCTCACATGGAAGTCATCCATTTGAGAAATCCATTAGGTCACAAAGTATGTTGCTAGACAACGTGTCCTTTGGCCAACTTGTCCTTTGACACCTTGTCCTTATAGCATTTACTTTGTACTAGACATTATTCTAAGTGCTCTACCTATATTAATTTAGCCTCATGACACATGTATGAAGAGGTGCTGTACATTATCCCCATTATAACAGTGAGGGAACTGAAGCATCAAGAAATTAAACTTTCCAAATTAAGGTCATAAGTAGAATTATATTGTCTGACTCCAGATTCTGTGCTCTTAATTAAAGAGCTCTATGTATCTCATGTATAGGTGCCCTAATAACATAGAGTAACCAGATACAACCCCTCTAAAGTCATCAGTGTTACTGTCCTCTAGTTTAACTAGTTTGTGTCTTCTGTCTTCCAGGTAACATGCAAATTATCCAGTTAATGTATAAATACAGCCATCCCTCCCTTAATGATGGGATATGTTCTTAAGACAGTTTCATTGTGTGAACATCGTAAAATATACTCACACAAACCTAGGTGGTATGACTTACTACAAATTTTGGCTATACAGTACACTAAATTTATGAAAAAAGTAATTGTGCTATGATGTTACAAATGATACAACGTCACTAGGTGATAGGAACTTTTCGGCTCCATTATAATGTTGCAGGACCACCATAATATATGCAGTCTGTTGTTGATAGAAACATTATGCAGCACATGACTGTAATTGAATGTATGAATTACTAGTATTTAACTAGATAAGCCAGCATAATTTACTGCCTAGTATTTATTCTGATATTGTCTAGAAGAAGAAATACGTGCAGATCTTTTGATAATCTGGTGAATTTTAATTCATGTTTGATTAATGATACCAATGTCTTTGTTTTTTTGTTTTTTTTTGCTTTTTTTCAACCCTCTATTTTACATAAAAATAAGATTATTGACGTGAGTTCAGATTTAATTTTGGAAAATGTCTTACTATTTAAGAGAAAGCACTTTAATTCTATATATTCTGAGAATAATAAAGAAAAGTTAGTTATTTACCAGTTTACCCAATTTCTTCTTTGGTAGGTATTGGTGGATTTATGGTGCGGCAAAGAAGTCGAACTGGGCAAGGAAAAACCAAAAGATCTGTGATCAGAAAAGATTCCTCAGGCTCTATTTCTGAGCAATTACCTAGCAGAGATGATGGTATTGTACTGATTTTGTTTGATTTAACCCTTTGGTCTTGATATCTCTATTGGAAAGAATTATTCTAAATTATGTTTTAGCCAGAACCTATTACCTCTTATTGATAAAGGATTTGAGTGCCTATAGAGTTCATGTGTATCATACAGCAGTCAAGTTTGCTAAGGAAGTGGTTTAAATCCAATATATTCTATTTCTTTCAGATTTTTTAACAAGTTCCTTTTTTCCTACATAAAACATATTTCTTTGATTAAGTATAAACAATTTAGGGACTGAATCACTAAGCCACATGAAGTTCTTTCTTGTCATCTCAAAAAATGACCTTTTTGGGGATGCTTTGCCTACTAATCATATACTTTGAAACTTTTTAGACTATTTAGTTGAAAGTGACAAGGTGCCCCAAACAGTTGTGTTTTTCTGTTTTGGGGTTGGAGTCTCACTCTGTTGCCCAGGCTGAAGTACAGTGGCATACTCACAGCCACCACAGCCTCAACCTGGTGGGCTCAGGTGATCCTTCCGCCTCAACCTTCCAAATAGTTGGAACTACAGCCAAGAACCACCACGCCCAGCTAATTTTTGATGTATTGTAAATACAGAGATGTGGTCTCGCCAAGTTGCCCAGGCTGTTCTCGAACCCCTGGGGTCAGGAAGTCCTCTCACCTCAGCCTCTCAAAGTGCTGGGTTTACAGGCTTGAGCCACTGCACCTGGCCCCCAAACAGTTATTAACAAAATTATAGCTGGGTGCGGTGGCTCAAGCCTGTAATCCCAGCACTTTGGGAGGCCAAAGCGAGAGGATTGCCTGAGCTCAAGGGGTTGAGTCTGGCCGGGGCAATTTGGTGAGACCTCGTCTCTACAATAAATAAAAAAAAAAATTAGCTGGGCATGGTAGCATGCACCTGTAGTTCCAGCTACTTGGAAGGCTAAGGTGAAAGGATTCCTTGAACCTAGCAGGTCGAGGCTGCGGTGGCCATGAGTGTGCCTCTGTGCTCCAGCCTGGACAATAGAGTGATTCTGACTCAACAACAGCAACAACAACAAAATTGTATATTGTTTTAGAAATGCATCTTTCACTCAACATACTGTTAATGTCACTTTGAGATTCAAAGAAAGCAAAATCAGGCCGGGCTCGGTGGCTCAGCCTGTAATCCCGCGCCTTGGGAGGCTGAGGTGAGTGGATTGCCTGAGCCCGAGGGTTCCGAGACCCACCTGGCCAACTTGGCGAGACCTCATCTCTACAATAAATCAAAAATCAGCCAGGCATGGTAGCGCGTGCCTGTAGTTCCAGCTACTCGGAAGGCTGAGGTGGAAGGATCGCCGGAGCCCAGCAGTCGAGGCTGCGGTGGCCAGGAGCGGCCACTGCACTCCAGTCTGGGCGACAGAGTGAGACTCCAACTCAAAACAAAAAACAAAAACTATATCATTGCTTAAGCCATTGCGTTCCATCCATTAAAAAATATGAGTATACTACCACTCGCTCTTAACTATTTAAGAAGTGGTTCTAATGAAGACTTTGTGATCAGTCTGGTCATGATCTGTATTATTATATATTTTTAAATAATATAGAATCTAAAGAGACTTGAGATGTTTGTAGGATGTGCTCTGAAAAAGTTCTTTATTACTATGGATGGGTTTTGACTTCAGGTGAATTAATAATCATCAGAAATCACTGCACATTTTAAAAAGGAAGTTCTGTGAAGGTTTTAAAAGAAATTTCTAATTTGACTTAATATTGGCTATATAATAAGCCCCAATTAAGAAATTAGGTATGTTCAATGAAACGACTTTTCGTGTTCCCCATCTCTTTCTCTTTATTCTGTCTTCCAGATTTTTTGTTTTTGTTTTTTTGAGTTTGGTCTCACTCTTTTACCCAGTACCCAGGCCTGGAGCGCAATAACATGATCACTGCTCACTGCAGCCTCAAACTCCTGGGCTCAAGTGATCTTCCCGAGTAGATGGAACTGCAGGCATTTTTCACTATGCCCTGTTAAGATTTTTTTGTTTGTTTCTTTTGTTTTTTTAAGAGACAAGGTCTCACTATGCTGCCCAGGCTTGAACTTCTGGACTAGAGCAGTCCTCTTGCCTCAGCCTCCCAAAGTGCTGAGCTTATAGGCATGAGCCACCATACCTGGACTTGGATAATTTCTTTACATCTGCTTTTTGGTTTAGTATTTTGTTCCTTCATCGGTGTCTAATCATAACTAATTCATTGAGTTTTAATTTCATATGTGGCTTTTTACTTTTCTAAACTGCCTTTTTGGTATTTTAACACTTTTGAGTTCTTTTTAAAGGTTATTTCTACATTCAGGTTTCTTTTCTTTTTAATGTAGCTTGTTGATTCAGAATGTAAAATACCTGAGCCTTTGTGCTGATTCACTCTTTTTTTCTGCTGACCAGTCTGTTAGTGCTTCATTTCACTATTGTTTGAGACATACACACACACATATAATACTTATTTATTAATTTTTACTCTGAACTCATGTTTTGGAACACTCTCTGTTTGAATTTTTTTGTTTTTTTTAATTTGGAGTCTCTGTCACCCAGTCAGGTGTGCAGTGGCACACTCACGGCCACCGCATCCTTGACCCGCTGGGTTCAGGCGACTCTTCTGCCTCAGCCTTCTGAGTACCTGGAACTACAGGCGCGTGCCACCACACCTGGCTAATTTTTGTTTTATTGTAGAGATACAGTCTTGCCAAGTTGCCCAGGTTAGTCTCAAACCCCTGAGCTCAGATAATCCTCTCGTCTCTACCTCCCAAAGTGATGAGATTACACATATGAGCCACCATGCCCAAATTTTTGAGAACTGAATTGCAAGTGGCTTCTTTCAGAAATTTGAATTTGTTACTTCCAGGAGCATGGGATGCTACTTCCTCAGGACTACTTTAAACTGCATCCTTAAATTTTTTGAAGGTTTCTGGTCTATCTATGCTACATAAATTCAAGTTTCTTATATATTAGGACTGTATCTAGTTTGTGGATTTTCAAGGAAAGTTTATTTTTTGCCTTACCTGCCCAGTAGCAAATTTCATGACATGATGACAGACTTTTGTTGTTGCTGTTGTTTGTTTTTTGCTGTTTGTGGGGAGTGGATAGGTGAGTGATGGTTTGAGTGAGGAATGTATTCTAATTAAACTTGAGCCTGGAATCCCTCAGATTTACCTTACATGTGTCACCACTGGTTAATCTGTCCATCTTGGAGAGAGGACTTAAGCTTTGTCTTCTGTTCTGTCTTCCTCATAAATCTCTGAACACTGGAGTTTGAGGTCGTTGGAGTTTAGCAAAATTCAAAGAGCTTTTACTTCTTTGCTTACTTCTGTGGTTTTTTTCTTTACCTTAACTTTTGATCTTTAGAGATTACATATTTTCTGGCTAGATTACTGGTGCATTTTTTAAAAACTTACCTTAAAAATGCCTATTCACTATTTTTAGTTTTTTCAGAAAAGTCAGTCTACTTATGTATTTTGGCAACCAAATAACCATGTCGACCAAGGGATGTGCTGTTTGCCCTCCTATTAAGAAGTATCTGAGTATAAGTTTGCTCATTTGTCAGCTTTAAGTCATGTACTTCTTTCTTTGTTAACTTCTGCATCCAAAATTTTTATTTCCATTTCTCTAATTTTAAGAATGAATTTCATTGCATATTTATGAGCAGATTCATAGTCATATTTTCACTGTCTTTATATACAAGTACCCACTTTGCAATAAATTTCTGAACTTGTAATTGCTGGATTGAAAAACACAAATTTTTAAAAAATATTTTTGTCAGGTATTTCCAATATTTGAGGGGGATTCCCCCAAAAGTGGAATTTGTTTATAAAAAATTGTATATTTATTCTTACATGTTTAAACTTTAGTCACCTTCCAAGTCCTCACTGTTTGATGCAATATGCCTATTGAGATGCTTTTTCTACTGCTCAAAACGAGTTATGAACTTACCCATTTGATGCCTTTTAGTGCTTCTGCCATTTTTTGGTTTCACCTCCTCCACTTCGGCCAAGCATTTTCCTTTGGGACCTTTTTTTTCTGGGGAAATGGGGCAAGATCAGTTGAATTAGGAGAGTGAGGCTAGAGGTTAATACCATTTTTGGTCCAAAACTCTGAATACAGCATGATGTGGGCAGGTGTGCTTGTAAATCACCCATCATGAAATAGACAAGTACATTAAAAGACTCTCCAAAAAAAATTCACTGAAGCTGAATGCAACACTTCTTGCTGGTGCACTGATGCCAGTGCATTCCTAGAACACTTATCAAGCAGGAGAAAACTGTACTATAAGGGGCCTGCTCTCCAAAAAATAACTTGGGTTTTCTTGCATTCCCTCTTGTACTCTACAAAAAGGTTGTACCCACTAAATTTCCCTTAGTAGTGTACAGGTAGCCATTTTCTTATACTCATGAGCTTTGGGTATTTTAAATTATTTTAATCATTATTAAAATATATTTAAATAAGTTTCTGCTTTGCAAGAAAATACTGATTATTAAGCATACAGTCAGTAGGAAACGTGAACACTAAATTTTTATATTACTTAGCAATAAACTTGCTTTGAGATCTTTTTGTGGATTGTTTAAACGAAACTGTATATATATTGCCAAGGATAAAATTGGCCTGGATTCAAATTTTAAATGCTGCATATTTACAAATGGGGCTTTTGTTTCAGGCTGGAGTGAACAGTTACCAGATACTCTAGTTGATGAATCTGTTTCTGTTACTGAAGGCACTGAAAAAATAAAGAAGAGATACCGAAAAAGGAAAAATAAGCTTGAAGAAACCTTCCCTGCCTATTTACAAGTAATATTTTGCCTTACATTATTTTATGTAGTTTATCAATTGTGGCAATACATTGAGTTTTTAAAAATAGATTTGTTTTTTGTTCATGTTTTACTTGTGTTTTCATTTAGTCATAAATGCCATCTTTACCTTGCAGGAGTCGATAAAAATTAACATTTACCTTTTTTGGTGAGTTTTTGTTTTTTAAATCCCAGTTGTTCATTTGTAAGTATTCTATAAGTCTTAAATAAGAAAACTTTAGGGTAGGAATAACTGTCTTCGAAATCATTCATATCTATCTTTGCCCCAAACCCAGGTACTATTGAAATTTTCCTTTGCCAGTACAGGTTAGACTAATTAAATTAGTTGAATAAAGAAGATTTTTTGTCAGCCCAGGTTATAGCTTTAATAATTACCACTCTTAGAGACCTGGTAAGCCAAAGATTTTAGCAGTTCTTCTTTTCTAAAATACACATCAGAAAACTGTCTCCAGTCCGAAGAAATTAATGTTTGTAGACTGCTAGAAAGAATCTTTGCGTTTTCTGTTTTGTAAACATTAAGTCACAGAAGAGTTCAAGGCCATGTGATGTATTGGAAACAGCCCTGTATTAGAAGTGGTACTGAGTTTAAACTTCTGGCCTTGTGACTAGCTAATTTGAGATTCCTAAGCATGTTATTCATCCTTACTGGCCTATTTTTCATGTGTAAAAAGTGCACTAGAAGAGACTGTCATTGCGTGTCTGTTCTAACTTGTGTGTGTATGACTGTCGTCTGTCCCTTCATCAATTGTTGTCCCTGTTTTTGGCCTTGGTTTTCCTTATGCCTTAATTTTATGCATCCTTAATGGATTTTCCCCCCTTACTGCCTTCAGGTACCCTTTCATCCTAGCTGTGCATGGTTGTTTTCAAACAGTAATTTTCTTAGTCATGAAATAGACCCATCTGTAGTTTGGATTATCTTTACTTGCAGCTTTTTGTGTTTGTTGCTTTCTCCTGTTCTCTTCACGATGCTTCTTAATATAGTTTTTTCTGAGAGTATGGAGATCACGACCTACCTCTCCTTCTTATTGATCCTTCTGTAAAGTGTATTCTCTATTTGGGAAGCTTTATTTAAGTGTTTATAAAAGTATGAAAAGTAACTGTTAAATGCTTTTGCAAAAAAGCTTTTTAAAGTATTAGATCTAATTTCCCAATTACTGCGGTGATCATAGTATATAGAGCTGGATTATTTCCTCTGGTGTACATCAGTAATTTCTACTTTTTTAAAATTTCAGTGTAATGTGCAGGAAGCCTTTGTTACGGTATTGTTTCTTGGATATCTTGTGATGATTGTATTTTTTCCCACTGATTAGGGGAGCACATGGTGACAAAAGCCCACCAGGAATTCAGTAACACTTTCCAGTTTTTCTTTATTAATCACAGGTGTGAAGACAAATTATAAATGGAATGATCTAATCACTAGAAATATTTATGCTGTCTACTAATATCTAGTGATACCATATAACTTTAGGAATCACTATAATAGATACACATCTCTGATTAGTTTTTGAAGTTACTGAAAATATCATCAAGTTAGAATATCTCTGAAGCCACTCCTTTATGTTAACTACAAGGAATGAAAACCCCACTAAATTAATAAGATACAGAAGGGAGGCCAGAAAAAATCCCAGAATTTATTTATAAAGATATATGTGTTTATTCTTACATGTTTAAACGTCAGTCACCTTCAGAGTACTCTCCATTTGATACATCTATATCTATCAGGGTGCTTTTCTCACTACTCAAAATAGTTTTTGAACTTGAGAGTTTTTATGCGTTTTAGTGCTTCTGCCATTTTTTATTTCACCTCTTCCACATTGGCAAGACTTTCCCTTTGAGGACTCTTTCATTCAAGAAAGAAAAGGAAAAAATTCACTTGGGGTGAGATTGGCAGGTACTGGAGTCATGCTGGTTTTGGTCAAACTAGTCACATGTTTGCCACATCTCAGGATGTGTCTTCTGCAAAGAGTGATAACCTTCCCAATACTTCCAGATAAAAACTTTAGTCTGTCTGGGCTCAGTGGCTCAAGCTTATAACCCCAGCACTTTGGGAGGCCGAGGCGAGAGGATTGCCTGAGCTCCAGGCTTTGAGACCAGCCTGGGCAACATGGTGAGACCTCGTTTCTACAATAAATCAAAAAATGAGCTGGGCGTGGTAGTGCGCACCTTTAATTCCAGCTACTTGGAAGGCTGAGGCAGAAGGATCGAGGCTGCGGTGGCTGGGAGCGTGCCACTGCACTCCAGCCTGAGCGACAGAGTGAGACTCCAATTCAACAAAAAAACTTTGGTCTACCGTTGGGTCCTGAGAAACAAATTCTGAGTGTACCACAAGGGGCCTGCCCTTCAAAATATAATTCTGGGTTTTTTTGGGGTCCCTTCTTGTATGTTAGTTTCCTATAAACAGCAGTAAGGTCTTCATGCATCATTTAAATACGTTTCTTGCTGCTGGTGAACTCAGATTATTCATATGTATACTGAAGGCATTAAATAAATAACCTCTAAACTTCTAAAATGCTTTCTGCTATTCAACATTTTTCCTAATGGTAAAAGCATTGTTGTTACATGAAATGGACTGTCTTCTACTTACTGCTCCAACTTTGTGAATTTTCAGATTTCTTTTTTATAGTAAAACAGCTTGTTCATTTAAAATGCAAAAATTTCAAATTAGGTATATCTTTACCTCGACCAGACTTCATACCCGTAATCTCTTTTGAAAAGTATTGTTGTTAATATTTTGCTATTTATTCTTTTAGAACTTTTTTTATAATTTGGTTTTGCATATTTATGGTAGTCCTGATTTGTGTTTTATAATTTGCTGGATGTATTATTCAACTTACTTTCTTTTAGTAATGTATTTTAGAGCTTTGATAACACAACTCTGCATACTTTTTAAAACTTGCTTTGTATTTTGTAGTTTGAGTTTCTACAGTTTATTTATTCATATACCTGTTGATAGACATTTAGGGCTGTTTTCATTTTCTGGTATTACAAAACACGCTACAGTGAACTTTTTTTGTTATGTATGTTTGGCAAGTGTATGTTAAATATTGATAGCTACTGTAGAATTGGCCCCTATGAAGTATCCTTTTTCCAGATAGACCACATAATAGAAAATAGACTAAAGAAAAGTTGTGGGGTTCAAGTAGGTGAAAGGGATTCTATATGCTTCCGTTTTGTCTTCAGTATTGATTCTTGAAGTTTTGGAAACATCCTTGAATTGCCAGGAACCCATGTGGAAGCCCTAGTCTCTAGGGTAGGGAAAGTGTATTGAAATGGACAAATGTTAATATGAGTAAATAAATAGAAAGCCAAAAGCCTTTAATTGCTGTAAATGTTGTACACATGATGTGTGTAAAATGACTATTATACTATATGCTATTATACTATACTATTATGACTATTATACTGTAATGCTGTAAATGTTGTACACATGATGTGTGTAAAATTTCTATTATGTGGTCTTTCAGATTTATAGTGTTACTCTTCAGTGTGGTTATATGAATCATTGTGAGATTACAAAATCTGCCTGAAGTATATAAATATTAAAGCTATTGATCAAAGTCTTATGCCATCCTCTGCAAGTAATCTATAAAAATTAATAATCACAAAGCTATTATACTACAGTTGCTAGAAACATCTGACATAATTGTCTTGTTTTGTTTGCATAATTGCATTTGTCACTAGTAAAACTACTAAAAAATTTTCATTTTTAAAATAAGGAGAATCTATGTAAAAGAATTGACAAGCTATTTCTCTGTTTTATATTTCCATATTTAGTTTCTATATTGTTAAAAACAAACCTTTTCCTTGTCAAAAACTGACCTGTTTTTTAAAAATTTATAACCAATTTTTATGTGCTTATCTTCATCTAGGAAGCTTTTTTTGGAAAAGATCTTCTAGATACAAGTAGACAAAACAAGCTGAGTTTAGATAATCTATCAGAAGATGCAGCTCAGCTTTCATATAAAACAAACACGAACACAGGTTTCTTGGATCCTTTAGATCCACTACTTAGTTCATCCTCAGCTCCAGCAAAATCTGGAACTCAAGGTATGTGGAACAATTCACAGACGTTTTCTTTATATCATATGACATTCATCTTCCTTTCATTTAAGCCCTTGAAGTGCTTTTGTTTGGCTTCATTTGTATTTTAAGAAATCAAGTCTATTGAAGTTTAACTTAACATTCAAATGCAACTATTTTAAGTGCACAGATCTATAAGATTTGGCAAATGAATTTGCTTGTGTATCTTACCACCAAAATCAAGAGTTGTGAAGGGAAATGTTTGACTTACACTTTGCTGAGAGCAATGTGAGGAGGCATAATTTGGCGGTAGTTCGTGAGTTTTAAATTTAATAATCTTCAACTTAGGTAAGATAATTGCACTGCATAAAGAAATTCAAAACAGAGGGAAACCAAGAAGAATGCCGTAATTGGAAACTTGCTGGCAAGTTTGTGTTAATACAGTGAGATATATTGCCCTATATAATGGTTTCTCACTACTGACAGTTTGACCCAATAATTCCTTGTTGTAGGAGGGAGGCTGGTACATGGTAGAATATCTAACAGCTTTTCTGGTCTCATGACATCATGATGATCAAAAGCATCTCCAAATGATTCCAAATATTTTTTGGTGGGCAGAATCACTCCTGGTTGAGAACCATTGTCCTAGGTATAATGCATATGGGAATTGCTAACAATCAGGGAAAGGTATAAGAGCTTGATGTGTTTATAACGTAATATTAATGTCAACAAGGCTAGAGGAGTTTCACTAGTTGGCTATGTGAGGGTTCTGACCACAGTGTTTTTCACCACTTCTAGGTTTTTATGATACTATCAATTTAAATTAATGTTCTTTTGATATACTTTCTTTTTATCATTGATTACATTTGTTAGTTAATTTTATAAACTCACTTTGTAAAACAGTTCGCCACTGAAAAATGACTTTTGATATTAAGTAGTTACAGCTTCACTAATTTGCATTATCCTGGATTGAAATATAGACTTTAATTTAATTTAATTTAATTTAATTTTTTGAGTTGGAATCTCACTCTGTTGGCCAGGCTGAAGTGCAGTGGCACGCTCATGGCCGCAGCAGCCTTGACCTACTAGGCTCAGGTGATCCTTCCACTTCAGCTGAAAGTACAGGCGCGTGCCACCATGCTTGGCTAATTTTTTGATTTATTGTAGAAACAAGGGCTCGACAAGTTGCCCAGGCTTGTCTTGAACCCCTGGTCTCAGGCAATCTTCTTACCTCGGCCTCCCAAAGTACTGGGATTACAGACTTGAGCCACTGTGCCTGGCCATACTTTTATTTTGATTTCTTGAAATAATTAGAAGCAATCTTAACCCCCTGTTGTATGCCTGTGGGTGTCTAGTCTACCTCACTGTTGGTAGTATGGTCATGCTGCTTATTTGTTTAGCCTTAGCAGATTTTTAAAAAATTTTCTTTTATTTTTTTTTCTCACTTTCTAGATTGTAGAGAGGCAGGCAGTCTTAACAGATTTGTTTTTTAAACTTTTATTTTAATTCTGTTGGTTTAAGTACTTACCTGCTCTTATCCATGTCAATACGTTGCTAAAATAATGTAAATGAAATAAATGTAGGTCCTTCAGCCATTTAAAGACGTAAATAGAAGTTATTTGCACTTGAGTTTTAAAGGAAAAAGGATCAAAGCTGAACAGAGGACATATTGTCATAGAAAGGACATGTTATTTTTACTTCTTTTTCCTTTTTCTGAACCCCCTCCCCCAAAACAGCTGAAGAGAGAATGATTTTACAATAAGACCAAAACTTGGAGGACTAGAAAAATATACCCATTTCAAAACGTAAATTAAACTTAATGATTTTTGCAGTTGAACCACTCTTTTACCTTTATAATGGAAAATTAACAAGAAAATGCTTTTTTCTTAACATTTCACTCATTGTAGTCCATTATTTCAATTTTAATAATTTGTTAATAAGATTTAAAATCCTTTACTTTAGGTATGGGCAAATTTTTAAAGTCTTTTAATAATGTCAGCTATAGTTTATATAATTGAATTTCATTACTTACTTTAAAACAAGCAAAAAAATCACTGTATGGCCCCCTGAAAGAATTATTCATAATTTTATTCCTTTCAAATGTACCATTGTTTAGCTAATACATTATTGAAATAATTTTATTTCTCTAAAAACTTTCTACCGGCGATCCTTCCGCCTCAGCCTTCCCAGTAGCTGGAATTACAGGCATGTGCTACCACGCCCAGCTGATTTTTTGATTTATTGTAGAGATGAGGTCTCGCTGCCCAGGCGGGTCTCAAACCCACGGGCTCAGGAAATCCACTCACCTCAGCCTCCCAAAGGCGCGGGATTACAGGCTGAGCCACCGAGCCCGGCTTGGGCACACAAAATTTAATATGATGTTCTCTTACATGTGGATTCTACTTGAGAAGTATAAAATGAGACCAAGACTTTGTTTGATCTGGAGTATTACATTTATGTCTGCCCAGCCTCCCCTAAGTAAAAATACACTTAAAATGAATTCAAAATTTTAAATGTTCTTTACTGAATGACTAATATAATTTATTAAGCTAGTCTAAGTAAGACTTCCAGTATTTCCTCCTTGATTAGGCCAAACCCCCTTAGAATCCTCCTTGATTTCTCATTCACCATGTTCCACATCTTTTCAGTCTGCGTTTTTGTCTCTGCCTTCAAAATCTGCCCCCTAATAAAGTGGTAGCTCTAAAAATAACATCTAGAAAATAAAACATAGGAGAGTTAAAATATGAAAGACAAGCCTGTTACCCTTTTAGAAATCCTGGTACCATCGAATTACTGCTTCCAGCTTTGTTCTTCATAGTGATTACTCATTCACTCATTAATTAAAAAAAAAAAAAAAAAAAAAACTTCAGGATGCACAGATCTATGTCTATGGATGTTATTTTAAAAAATACCACTTTTTTTTCTCCAATAAGACAGGGTCTTGCTTTGTCACTCAGGCTGGAGTATAGTGGAATGATCTTAACTTACTGTAGAGATGCTACTTTTTTAATTAAGTAAAAGAAAGATGTTTTTTTTCTTGCTGTGTTATACTGTTCATTCTTTTCCATTTTATTGCCTCCAGGTCTTTATATTTTTTTGTTTTGCTTTGTTTCAGTAAACATTAGTCGCAGAATAGTCTGAGTTTTAAATAATTTTTTGTTGTTTAAAACGTTAGAGTGCCTTATGAAAAATTCCTGCCATGAAAGTAAAGAGTCTAAATTTTTTATCATTCTGGCACTCACCGCAGCACCTATTGTATTTTAAGTACTTAGGAAATGGTTTGATGTGTAGAAAAATACTGAAATTTTAAGAATATACTTATGATTTTAGGTACTGCTGATGACCCATTAGCTGATATTTCTGAAGTTTTAAATACAGATGATGACATTCTTGGAATAATTTCAGATGACCTAGCAAAATCGGTTGATCATTCAGGTATATGTGAAAATTATTTACACAATTTTTGTTTTATGATATGAGAGTTGTATGTGTATGAAACAAGTTTAGTCTTTTTGTCTGTTTCCCAGTAACTAAAGTTTTTGTATGTGTTTTGTTTTTGGCTTTGTCAAAGAACTCAACATTTTATTTTATCTACCTTGGCTTTCCTGCTTTAGGAGGGGATAGCAAGTTAGTTAATTTCTATTGTCTTTCTAATTGCATCAAATTTAAGGCATGTTGCCTTAAAGTCTTGCTGTATTTTGTTTCTTCTTTTGATTGCATTTTCCCTAGCTCTCCGCTCCTGTGGTAATCATCCATTTTATTTGGTTTGGGTCTTGTAGGTCTTGATTTATGCACTTTCCAGGTTGAGAGCTCACCTTTTCCATTTGGTAAGAAACTGAGCAATGAATGACCGCTGAATAGAAGTAGTCTTCTTTTTCATAATGATTTCAGCTGAAACAACCTGTAGGTGCATGCATATTTATTAGTAGTGCTAATTTATCACTAATCCATACTTTGCTTTTCCCTTTGTGTGGCTAAAGCATAGTATAGCTGTACTGTGCTTTGGGTGACTTTTTCAGTAGTTTTTTTTTTTTTTTTTTAATGAATGGTTTTATTTTTGTTAATATGTAATTTACAATATTACCTAAATACTATAGAGTTAGTTCCTAATATATGTAATTAAACAAGAGCAGACTAAATTTTTACTTTAATACAATAATTTTGAGAAAGCATGAAAAATCTAGGTGATAGATCATTTTTACTTGACTCTTGCTTAAAATATGTATATGAATAAAGCATATTATATTTGTATAAACATATATTCAGAATGTCTACAAAATATTTTTAAAACATAAGCTATACTTGAGCTTGTTTACAAAAGGTAATATTTATTAAGCATTGAGAATTTTGGAGCCTTTTATTAATTTATATGAAACTTCTCCCTCTTGTTTCCCACACTGTATAATAATTGAACTGTACATTTGAAACCAGTATTTTCCAAGTTAAAGCAATTATTTGTATATTGACTACTCATATATTCCTATCTTTTTTTTAAATTTAATTTTATTTTGTTTGAGTTGGAGTCTCTCTCAGTCACCCAGACTGGAGTGCAGTGGCCGCTCCCGGCCACCGCAGCCTCGCCTGCTGGGCTCCGGCGATGCTTCCGCCTCTGCCTTCCAAGTAGCCGGAATTACAGGTGTGCACTACCATGCCCGGCTGATTTTTTGATTTATTGTAGAGATGAGGTCTCGCTGCCCAGGTGGGTCGCGAACCCGCGGGCTCAGGCAATCCACTCACCTCAGCCTCCCAAAGGCGGGGGACTACAGGCTGAGCCACTGAGCCCGGCTTATATTCCTATCTTAATGAGTTTATTTTTTACAGAAATTGGCATGTTAAAATCAGATGTGATTTTTCTTTCCTCAGGAAATGTATTTACTTTTATTAAAATATAACTATGTGGCACCTATGTTTACAAATGCTTTCTGCCCAGTTTTTACTGATTGACTATCAAAATTGATAGAAGAGTTCTGATTCAGAATTACAGACTTTATTTATCTATTTTAATCATATTGTGATTTATTAATGCAGGTAAATAGTGCTATACGTTTTCCATGAGTGTTCTAAATTCACCTTTAATGTATTCACCTTCCTCTTAGATATTGGTCCCATCGCTGATGATCCTTCCTCTTTGCCTCAGCCAAGTGTCAATCAGAATTCACGACCATTAAGCGAAGAGCAACTAGATGGGATCCTCAGTCCAGAACTAGACAAAATGGTCACAGATGGTAAAATATTTGCCCTACATCTAGGCTTTCTAAAAAACATGAGTAAATATGCTTTTCAAAGATTTCTGCATGGTTATTTATAATTTTATATATATTATTATTTCTACATCAATTAAATGCTATTTTATACCAGCATGTTGAATTAGTGTTGTTAATTTTTCTATTTATTTTATTCTAGGAGCAATTCTTGGGAAGTTATATAAAATTCCAGGTATTTGTGTTCTGATTTCTTAGTTTATGAAAATCCCATTCTCCATACCAAGGCCCTAATAGTTTTTTTAACTTACTACTGTTTTTATTTTATTTTGTAGAGCTTGGAGGAAAGGATGTAGAAGACTTATTTACTGCTGTACTTAGTCCTGTAACCACTCAGCCAGCTCCATTACCACAGCCTCCCCCTCCAACACAGCTGTTGCCAATACACAACCAGGGTATGTTATGACTTATATATGTATGGTTCTACCTTATATCCACGTGTGTGTGTGTGTGTGTGTGTGTGTGTGTGTGTACATGGAGGGGAGTTTTGCCCATTTCCTTAGTAGCTGCATATATAAACTGATAGGAGAAAGCCCTCTTTTGTGATGATAGAAAAATAGCAACTTCATTATGTATCTATCTCCCTGAAATTTTCTATAAATCCATGATCCCCACCTTATGATTGGAATTCTTTTGCTTGTTCATTGGCTGTGGGTCACTGGCTGTGGGGAGGATGTAGTAGTGCCTGCCCTCTTCTTTTCCTCCAGTCCCAATTCCAGCTCACTTCCACACCAGTTGTTTTCCCACATAGGGACTTCTTTGTTTGGAGCACTACAACCCACCCTTACCTGGCTGCCTTGTACTCATTGATCTGGTCTCAATTTCACTGACATTTCCTCAGAGGTTAGCCAGTCACCACTTGTGCATCTATCTCCATGTCTTTCATTTGTAGCATGTGGCACAAATACCTGTTTGGATAATTAAGGTCTTACCTTTGTCATGATTATGAATGCCCCCTTTTTCTTTTCCTTTTTTTTTTTTTGAGTTGGAGTTTCACTCTGTCACCCAGGCTGGAGTGCAGTGGCACGCTTACGGCCACCACAGCCTCTACCTGCTGCACTCAGGTGATCCTTCTGACTCAGCCTTCCAAGAAACTGGAACTACAGGCACGTGCCACCACACCTGTGTAATTTTTTTATTTATTGTAGAGATGAGGTCTTGCCAAATTGCCCAGGCTGGTCTTAAATGCATGGGCTCAGGCAATTCACTCACCTTGGCCTCGCAAGTGCTGGGATAATAGGCATAAACCTCTGTGCCCAGCCCAGTGTGAGCTCTCTAAAGGCTAGGGCAGGGTCATATTTGTCTTGCTTATCACTGCATACCCTGCTGCAGAGTGTGTTTACAGTATATACTTTCAGAGTAAATCAGTGACTCTTCTGCCCCCTGTAGACATGATGAGATTTCTGTGAAATTTTACTCTTTTGTTTGATCCTTCTTCTTCTACCTACTTGTAACTAGTTGCCGTATAAAATAGGTTTAAGACTTCAATTTTTTACTCTTTCTGGAGATTGAAAATAAAGTAGCCTAGAATTAAGATCTGTCTGAGTAAATAGGGAGATTGGGTGCTACAGGTATATGGGAATCTCCTATTGAAGAGAGTTTCGAGTTCCATGGTGGTACACATTTTTGATGAGTTGAGCATAGGGACGTTTCTTTATCCTGTTGTCATTGCTTCATTGTCTATTTACTGAATTGAGTAATATGATGATACCTTTATAAACTGTTATCTTTTCTGTGTATAAGTGCCAACATGTGGATAATTTACAATCTTTACTAATAATTTTTTGTATATGTGAAAAATTCCATAATACACATAATTGAAATATTTGAGTTTCTACCAGTTTAGCCTCTAAACATAGATTTACCTTGACTTTTGCTAGAGCAAGCATGTGATTTACATTTCCATAAAACATTATAACTGCTTCTTGCCTTAATTGTTCCTGTATTCTTTTAATAATTAAGAACTTTTAAATATTTCTTTTCTCAACATATAAAAATAGTCTGTCTTCATATTTTCTATAACAAAGTATGTATTTTAAAAATCAGGTCAGTTAAAGATGTGTTTCTTTAACTGATGATTTTATTGTGGCTGGGACTAAGTTAAAACCTAGAGTTCATATAAAGATACTTGTAATGCTGATTGAACAGAAGGAGTAATATGAGAGACACTGGAGTGAGAAGAAGGAGGACTGTGCTACTGAATGGCTATAAGGCATGAGGAGAAGGGGAAAATGAGGCGAATCAGGCTGTATATAATGAACCAGACTGATCTCGAGGATAATCACAAAACCTGGATCAAAGAAAGACTCAGAGAGTGTGTGTGTTGTCGAAGATAGTGGAGTGGTCATGAACTTAGTTTTAGACCATTTTTAGGTTGGTAGAAATGAGTCAGACACATTCTCTGACTTACAGTCCGTTGTAGTTAGCCAAGGCTATGGGATGTGGGAACTATCTGTGTAGTGGTGCTAGTTGAAGTTGTTGGAAGGTTGAGATTTTTTAAGGGTATATACTACCTGTAGAGTATAGATTCTTGAGGAACTCTTAATTGAATGTAATGATTTATATTAGGTGTACAATTACATGTTTATTCTTTTTGAGGGTTAGGTGAAAGTGAAAAATGTAGTAAATTAGAGACATTGAGTGAGAGGGTATGTAGGATCTTGGAAATGAACATTAGAGCCAGGTTATGTAGTTAATTAAGATGAATATTTGAAATATTTTCTTTTATTGGACTGTGAAGAGGTTGTTGGTAATCTTCAGTGGAGAAACTTCAATAGGAGTGATACAGAAGGAAAGTGGAAAATGGAAATTTTAAGATAGAGATATAGTAACTTGAAATTTTTTAAGATAAAAGTTAAGTGAAGTAACATTAACATTTTTATAAACTAATATGACCAGGTTGAGTAGGTCATTTCTGAAGAAAAAAAAAAACACTGCATAGTGAGTGGAGTCTCACTGTGTCATCTAGGCTAAAGTGCAGTGGCATGCTCACAGCCACCACAGCCTCAACCTGCTAGGCTCAGGTGATCCTTCTACCTCAGCCTTCCAGGTAGCTGGAACTATAGGCACGTGTCATCACGCCTGGCTAATTTTTTGATTTATTTTAGAGGTGAGTTCTCACCAAGTTGCCCGGGCTGATCTCAAACCGATGCTCAGGCAAGCCTCTCACCTCGGCCTCCCAAAAGTGCTGGGATTATAGGCATGAGCCACTATGCCTGGCCTAAAAAACTATCTGTTAATTAAAATAATAATGAAGGTAAAATGCTTTGCATTTACTTGTATGTCCTTGAACAAGTTATTTAACTTCTCTGGGTCGTCTTTGCTTAAATGGAGCTGCACATAATTACCTATTTCATTGGGCTGCCATTCTCATTACCAATAAAGAAGCTTTTGTTTATCCTCATTACTTGAGAGACATTTGATGTTTTTTAATAAAATTTCAGATTATTTAATGGAACCTACTTTTTACTGGAGTTGAAAGTAGATGTAACGTTCTATTCTGAATAAAAACAGAAATATTGCCCTTTAATCCTTGGCGTAAACTTAACTGTCATGAGACACTTGTCATTTGAAAACCTGATCCAGTGTGGCCAGCTCTGACATTTAGTTGGATAAACCCTATCACATAAGTCATATGGTTCTAGGAAGTATTTGAGATGAAATATGTTAAAACTTGTTGGTAATTAACCTCAGTATTCTCACATACACACTGGAACTATACATTTTAGTGTTGTAACATTCAGGTGATCTGAATTAGGTGAAAGGACATTATGCATTGTAAAATGTTCTGTCTGTGATATTGCTCTGGGTTTTTATCTAATGGTGTGGCCAAGTGATCAGGTTAGGAGTTCTCTTTATCTCAAGTGTTAGCCAACTCTATATTACCATTTGTATAATTAATTGGTGATGTGGATCTCTTGTAATAGTACTACTGAAAGCATTACAACACTTAACAGAGGCCTTGTATTAGAGTACGTTTTCACAGATCATCAGATTTAATTGGGAGCGTTTTTTGAAGGGTTTTTTTCTTTTGTTCTTTGATGGAAAACTGCTCCAATAAGGACCCCAGATAATTCAGACAAGCAGACAATCACAATAGAGATTGGAGTTACATGCCTGAAGGAGTGTTGTAGAGAAACAAAGTGGTCTTATGGTTTGCCTAGTGTCAATTTAGAAAGAAAATAGGCTAGGCATGGTGTCTCACTCCTGTAATCCCAGCACTCTGGGAGGCCAAGGAGAGAGGATTGCTTGAGCCCAGGAGTTCGAGACAAACCTGGGTAACATAATGAGACCTCATTTTACAAAAAAAAATTTTTAAAAGCCAGGCATGTTGGCACATGCTTATAGTCCCAGCCCTTTGGGAGGCTAAGGTTGAAGGATCGACTGAGCCCAGGAGATGGAGGCTGCCGTGAGCTGTGATTGTGCCACTGCACTCCGGCATGAGTGACAGAGTGAGACTCTGACTCAAAAAAAAAGAAAATGATAAGGTACATGAAACTTGTGAATAAGCTGGACTGAGAGTTAAATCCTTTGGTGGCTGAACTACAAGTAATGAAATTTAGGCCAAAATCAGAATGTTTATTTTTTGATAATAACCATCTCATTGTTATTAGTAATGAAATATTGCTTATTGTTAGAAGCTATTTTACAGGAAGTGCCAATGTAAGTGCCAATGTCTATTAAGAGGAATAGGAATATAAGGCCATCTATTTGTAAATTTTCAATGAAGAAGAATATTTGATAAAACATACTAGAATTTGCTGTCATTCATTCTTTTTATAGAGTTAATATGTATTGAATAGTTGCTTCTTACTAACCACTCTGCTAAGAGCTGTACATAAATTATTTCTGTTAACCCAAATAGCAGCGTATCTCCTTTTTACAGAAAAAGAAATAGTTTCTGCTCCTAACATGTAGCAGAACTAAGATTCAAACCCAGAGCTGTCAGTCTCCAAACTACATGCTATTTCTAGTACACAATAATGAAGTAAACACAGTTGGGGAGACCATATTTCAAAATTTTATAGCTAAAAATCACTCTTTAAGTAGTATTATACAGTATATTATTGAAAAAAAATCCTATTTTTAAATAGCATTCAAAGTTTTTATTTAGAAGTAAAGCTGTCCCTCAGTATACATGGGGGATTGGTTCCAAGACTCTCACTTATAAACAAAATCTGAGCATCCTGAAGTCCTGTGTTCAACCTTGCAGAATATGCATGCACAAAGTCAGCCCTCACTTCATATATGTAGGTTTTGTTCCATCTGTGTGTGTTTGAGAAATATTTGCATTTAATGAGATCCACAGAGTTCAAATCTGTGTTGTTCAAAGGTCACTGTATTCTAGCTCTTTGTTATTTATGAATATTGTGCAAACTGAATTACTGTTTTTTTCTCTTAAGATGTTTTTTCACGGATGCCACTCATGAATGGTCTTATTGGACCCAATCCTCATCTCCCACATAATTCTTTGCCTCCTGGAAGTGGACTGGGAACTTTCCCTGCAATAGCACAATCGCCTTATCCTGATACCAGGTATTTAAAAGCCTTATTTTCTATAGGAACTAAAATTGCAGTAATTTCTGTTTGACCTATATATAAATTAAGTATTCTGTTTAGATTATTATGCATGATATTATATGTTGCATTTATTGTGAATTTTGCTAGAAATAATCAAATATGTTATTTTTTGCTATTTCGCAATAGGTTTTAATAAAAGTGTACTTGAGTATACTCTTAGGAAATTATTTTATGTTTATGAAGCAAAGATGTTTCTTTTTCGCCAGGGATAAAAATCCAGCATTTAATTCGATGGCAAGTGACCCTAACAACTCTTGGACATCATCAGCTCCCACTATGGAAGGAGAAAATGATACAATGTCAAATGCCCAGAGAAGTACATTGAAGTGGGAGAAAGAGGAGGCTCTGGGTGAAATGGCAACAGTAGCACCAGTTCTTTACACAAATATTAATTTCCCAAACTTAAAGGAAGAATTCCCAGGTAAGTCATGGATATATTATTGCTGTGTATTTTACCAACATTGTTTTGTGTTTAATAACTTTTTTTTAAACTGCAATAGAGAGTTCTGACATATTCAATAATTTTCATGTAGAATGACAGTCCACAGTGTGAAGATTTGCTAGATATCTAGAAACATCTTGTATTTTACTTAGTTCTTGTCCCTGTACTCATTTGCATATTTCCCAAAAGTTAGTTTCAGTTAGTGACGTGGCTAGTTTTCAAGCTTCTCACAGTGCTTAATAAATAGAAGCCAATGTTAGGCAATTTAAAAATAATTCCTGGAACTGAAACTTATCATTTAAAAAAAAATATTGTTAGGCTAAATCAGTCACTTCTAAATGGTGTTTGTATTGAAATTAATTCAATAAAATCTTCCCTTTTCCCCTCTTCACCTTCCCTAACTACACAGCTATTATTGCTTGTTTGAAAAACCCAGTTGGTAAAATTGTACTATATCTGAAAATTTTGATTAACCTGTGAATGAAACATTTGGATTAATGAAGTGTCAGTTATTCATTATTTGCAAGCAATGCTGTTTTGTTATTTTGAGTTCACGTTAAACCAACTATATTGACACAGTTATTCAAACTGTTTTGCAATAATGTCCCGGCTATCTGTCACAACATATGAGCTCTTTTAAATTACTAGAGGGGTGTCTAGAAGTGACTTTTCATATGGATAGCCCCTGGTTTTTAGGTGCCTGTTTTGTTTGGTATCCCTGTGATACTTTATTCATTATGTCATGCTATGTTATCTAACAGTAGAAACCAATGAGACGCCTGTTAAAGCAGTAACCCATTCTTCAACTACTTACATTTGCCATTTGTATAGATAAGCATATATTGTTATCTTGAGTTGTTTTATGTTAGCATAAATTGTCCTTAGAGCAGAACTATAGTGTCTTTTTAAAGTAATTTTCTTTAATAATTTTACATTGTGATTTAAGAGCCCCATGAAATACTATGTTAAGGATGTTGGTCGGTCAACTGATTTCCATTTTCGCTGATGCTTTTTAGAAGCTTGTTTTGGTTTTTTTAAAAAATATGGAATAAATAATTTCTATCTTTATTATTAACTGTTGATCTCATCCAGACTTCATTTTGTAGTCTATCATGATACTGTGAATATCATAGAAATAGTTTGAAATCATTATCTTCCCATTAGCTTGTATACAAATGCTGATGAGATGTTTATTTATAACTATGTTTACTTCCTTTAGGTCAAGTTGATAGAATTCTGTTTAGTGCAGATGTTTTACAAAACTTTTACTTTCATTCTTGTACTATTTGACATGAGGGAATTTATTATATTTGGTTAAATTTATTTTGGCTGCTTAGCCCCTTGACTTTAAAAACTTTCCAACTCTACAGCCAGGTTGTTAATACAGCAGCACTTCATTTAGAAAATATTTACTTGGCCTGTTGTGTGCCAGGAACTTTGTGCTGTGTAAAGAACTTATCATAGGACTGCTACATCATAAAAGTATGACCTGAATAAGGTGAACTGTCAGCAGTTAATCAATATTTTTTATTATAATGCACCATTAGTATGACTCTGAAAAAATTATGTACTCTCTTCTTTTGTTGCAGATTGGACTACTAGAGTGAAGCAAATAGCTAAATTGTGGAGAAAAGCAAGCTCTCAGGAAAGAGCACCATATGTGGTATTTTAAGATCCTATGTGTTAAATCTTTAAACACAACTCTTGAACCTTATTTTTATTATTTCATGTTAATAAAAAAGATTTTCCATTGCAGAAAATGCTTGTTAACACTTGTACAACAAGCAACTTTATTTTTACAGTGATTTCCTAACTCATTATGTATCTTAATATGGGGTATAACATTTTTATAAACCAGAACCAGGATGTTGAAGATTGTAAAGCAGCTATTTTGAGGGCATGTTTAATTCATTTCACTTTAAAATTGCTTTATCTCTTCAGCAAACTGTACAGTTGGTCCTCTGTATCTATGGGTTTCACATCCATGGATTCAATCAACTGCAGATCACTTGGGGGGAAAATGTCTGTACCAAACGTACAAGCTTTTTTTCTTATCCTTGTTTCCTAAACAATACAATATAACTACTATTTACATAGCATTTATATTATACTAGGTATCACAAGTAAAGTTATCTAGAGATGATTTAAAATTTACAGGAAGACATAAGTAGATTATATGCAGATACTATACCATTTTATATCAGGGACTTGAGCATCCACAGATTTTGGTATCTACGGGGATCTGTGCATCTTGAAAGAGTCATATCTGAATATCATTATGGAGCTTTTAAACAAAAAAGTTATTTTTAACTGAGTGCAGTGACTCACGCCAATAATCCCAGTAGGATGGCTGAGGTGAAAGGATTGCCTGAGCCCACAGGTCTGAGATCCCCTCTCTACAATAAATCAAGAAAAATTAACTGGGCATGATGACTCGTGCCTGTAGTTCCAGCTACTTGGAAGGCTGAGGCGGAAGGATCGCCTGAGCCCAGCAGGTTAAGGCTGCAGTGGTGGTCAGCATGCCACTGCACTCCAACCTGGGCAACAGAGACTCCAACTAAAAAAAAAAAAAATTTTTTTTTTTTTATTTTGGTAGTTTTGGGGGTACAAATAGTTTTGGTTACATAGTTGCAGTGTACAGTGGCAAAGAATTCTGGGCTTCAAGTGTACCTACCACTCCCACTTGTATGCATTGTACCTAGTGGGTAATTTCTCGTTCCTCCACTTCTCCCTTCCTCTTTCTGAGTCTCCTATGTTCATTTTACCATTCTCTGTGCCTGCAGATCCTTACTTTGGCTCCCACTTGTGAGAACATACGGTGTTTGGTTTTCTCTTTCTGTATTAATTCACTTAGTTTGATGTTCTCTATTTTCATCCAAGTTCCTGCAAAAGATGTTATTTCATTCTTTTTGATAGCTGAATAGTATTGCATAGTGTATATATACCACAGTTTTATCATCCACTGATCAGTTGATGGGCATACAGTTTGATTCCACATCTTTGCAATTGTGAATTGTATTATAATAAAGATGTGAGTGCAGGTGTCTTTTTTTTTGTAATGACCTCTGTTCCTTTGGGTAGATAGATAACCTTATAATGGGATTGCTGGATCAAATATATGTTCTATGAGAAATCTTCATACAGATTTTCATAGAGGTTGTACTAATGCAGACTCTCACCAACAGTGTACTAGCTCCTTTAAGGAGCTTTAGAAACATGATCTTTGCCATGAGCTCTTAGGAGTTTTATAAGACTCACAGTTCAGTGAATTGTTTTCCCCAAAGAGCTAAATTAAGATTGTCAAGTGGAACCAAATCCTTGCTTTCATTTTAAAGCATATTAATATGTATTATTGTTTTGAAAAAAAAGTCACTTTCCAATTCCCCAGTGTAAATATTTTCAGTTATAATGATTGTTTTGAATAGAGCGTATCTATGTATATGTACATATATATGTGTGTGTGTGTATATGTCACACATATATTTTAATATGTTGATATGCTGTGGTTTACCTTGACTTTAATAAGGTAATGACAGGATATTTTTAATGTTTTTAAAATATTCTTTAGTGATAAGTTTCAGATATTCAGATGTTTTAAAATTTGAGGATTGATTTGATATTTTTCTTCTTTATAAATTGAGGGAGAGACATTAATTCTTCCATTTTCTAAGGATGTGTTAAGAAAACTCCAGTGAAAAATATTAGATTACACCTGGGATCTCTTCACCTAATTCAAATAACATAGTTAGAAATATGCCCTCATCTCATAAGTACCATGAACTGTAGAGAAGATGGGTTAGTGTCCAGATCCCTTTTTAGGAGATACTGTAAGTTCTGGAGGATATTTCAACTATTTAATCTGACTTTTCCTTGCTTTTTTATATGATTAAGTTCACAATAGTTTTATTTTTATTTCATAAAAGTTGTTAACGTATTCTGGGAAATATTTGTTTTTCTTTTTGTTAAAGCAAAAAGCCAGAGATAACAGAGCTGCTTTACGCATTAATAAAGTACAGATGTCGAACGACTCCATGAAAAGGCAGCAGCAACAAGATAGCATCGATCCCAGCTCTCGTATTGATTCAGATCTTTTTAAAGATCCATTAAAGCAACGAGAATCAGAACATGAACAGGAATGGAAATTTAGACAGGTATGGAGCTTATGGATTATCTACTTTTTTAACTTGCATTTTTGCTTTTTGAGAAGAGGTATTTCCATCATTATTACAGAATATAGTTCTTAGTGGATCATGAAAATTTGATTTAAAATAGATTTGTTTACCTTTTCAGTAAAATGTATTTAATTGATTGGGGAAGTTTATTGAAATATTATAAACAATATCCTGCCCTAGGCTTAAATCAGACATACTATGATGGATAATTTCTCTTGTTTAGGAATTTGTAATATGGAAGGAATCTGGTATCTGCTGACACCAAACAAATTAACTTTCTATTGCTTTATCCCCCATGCTGGTTATTTCATTCCTTAACCATATGGTTACTTTTTTTGGCTGTTTTTTAGCAAATGCGCCAGAAAAGTAAGCAGCAAGCTAAAATTGAAGCCACACAGAAACTTGAACAGGTGAAAAATGAGCAACAACAGCAGCAGCAGCAGCAGCAGCAGCAGTTTGGTTCTCAGCATCTCCTGGTGCAGTCGGGTTCGGATACACCAAGTAGCGGGATGCAGAGTCCCTTGACACCTCAGCCTGGCAATGGAAGTATGTCTCCTGCACAGTCATTCCATAAAGACCTGTTCACAAAACAGCCACCCAGTACCCCTGCATCTACATCTTCAGATGACGTGTTTGTAAAACCACAAGCTCCACCTCCTCCTCCAGCTCCATCGCGGATTCCAATTCAGGAGAATATTTCTCAGCCTCAGACTTCTCAGCCGCCTTCACCACAGATGTTTTCACCTGGCTCCTCTAACTCCCGGCCACCGTCTCCAATGGATCCTTATGCGAAAATGGTTGGTACCCCTAGACCACCTCCTGGGGGTCATAGTTTTCCCAGAAGAAATTCTGCTGCACCGGTGGAAAACTGTTCTCCTTTATCGTCAGTGTCTAGGCCCATTCAAATGAGTGAGTCAACAACAAATAGGCCATCCCCCATCAGAGACTTATGTTCTTCCTCCACAGCAAATAGTGACCCCTATGCAAAGCCTCCAGATACACCTAGGCCTGTGATGACAGATCAGTTTTCCAAATCTTTAGGCCTACCCCGGTCTCCTGTGGTTTCAGAGCAAACTGCAAAAGGTCCTGTAGCAGCTGGAACCATCGATCACTTTACTAAACCGTCTCCTAGGGCAGATGTGTTTCAGAGACAAAGGATACCTGACCCATATGTACGACCCTTGTTGACATCTGCACCTCTTGATAGTGGTCCTGGACCTTTTAAGACTCCAATGCAGCCTCCTCCATCCTCTCAGGATGCTTATGGATCAGTGTCACAGGCGTCAAGACGATTGCCTATTGACCCTTATGAAAGGCCTACTTTGACACCAAGACCTCTAGATAATTTTTCTCACAGTCAGTCAAGTGATCCATATAGCCAGCCTCCTCTGACTCCACATCCGGCAATGAATGAATCTTTTGCCCATCCTTCAAGGGCTTTTCCCCAGCCGGGAACTATATCAAGGCCCACATCTCAGGATCCATATTCCCAACCCCCAGGAACTCCAAGACCTGTTGTAGATTCTTATTCCCAACCCTCAGGAACAGCTCGGTCCAATACAGACCCTTATTCTCAACCTCCTGGAACTCCCCGGCCTACCCCTATTGACCTATATAGTCAGCAGCCTCCAACCCCAAGACCATCTACACAAACCGACTTGTTTGTTACGTCTGCAACTAATCAGAGGCACTCTGATCCATATGCTCATCCTCCTGGAACACCAAGACCTGGAATTTCTGTTCCTTACTCTCAACCACCAGCAACACCAAGGCCAAGGATTTCAGACGGTTTTACTAGGTCTTCATTGACAAGACCAACCCTCGTGCCAAATCAGGATCCTTTCCTACAAGCAACACAAAATCGAGGACCATTGGTAAGGCCCCCTGATACGTGTTCCCAGACACCTAGGCCACCTGGACCTGGTCTTCCAGACACATTTAGCCGTGTTTCTCCGTCTGCTGCTCGTGATCCCTATGATCAGCCTCCAATGACGCCACGATCCCAGTCTGACTCTTTTGGAGCAAGTCAAGTTGCTCATGATGTTGCTGATCAGCCGAGACCTGGGTCAGAGGGGAGCTTCAGTACATCTTCAAACTCTCCAATGAATCCTCAAGGCCAGCAGTTTTCTGGTGTCTCCCAACTTCCTGGACCTGTACCAACATCAGGAGTAACTGACACGCAGAATACTGTAAATATGTCTCAAGCAGATACAGAGAAGTTGAGACAGGTAAACATGTGTGTTCTCTTTTGTCTTAAATGTATTATTTAAGGAAGCTATTCGTTTCATCAGACTATTTTCTATACAAGTGTTGAAGTTTTCTTTTTATATTGTAGACTTCATCATACTGCAAAGAAAAAAATGAAATTGGTAAAATTAGCACCAATTGAATTGGACTTATAAATTTGTAGGAAAATCCTTAAAATACAAAAACTTTCAGTTTCATGATAATTATCTGACAAGTAAAAGGACTCAAAGTCATCTGTTTATTCTTTATTATCTGTTGAGTAATTAAATGCAACTAGTGTTTCAGCAAACTTTGAAATATTCAGATATTTTAAATGTTACCATGACCACATTATTAAAGTATTAGGATTTACAGTGGTGTATGCCTGTAATCCTGGCTACTCAGGAGGCTGAAGTGGGAGGGTTGCTTGAAGAAGGAGCTTGAGGCCAGCCTTTGCCAATATAACAAGACCCTTGTTTCTAAAAAATTATAAATAGTACAAATATTTAAGAAACCACTAATTATTAGAAACCTCAGTGATGATTTTTGTGTGTGTTTGTTTCCATTTAGCGGCAGAAGTTACGTGAAATCATTCTCCAGCAGCAACAGCAGAAGAAGATTGCAGGTCGACAGGAGAAGGGGTCACAGGATTCACCAGCGGTGCCTCCTCCGGGGCCTCTTCAGCACTGGCCACCCGAGAATACCAACCAGGCTTTCACTAGACCCCCACCTCCCTATCCTGGGAACATTAGGTCCCCCATTGTCCCTCCTTTAGGACCTAGATATGCTGTTTTCCCAAAAGATCAGCGCGGACCCTATCCTGATGTTGCTAGTATGGGAATGAGACCTCATGGATTTAGGTAAAGCTTTTAATTTCCTGTCAAATTAAAATTACAATTAGAAGAAGGAAATAGAGCAGGGCATGGTGACTCACACCTGTAATGCCAACTACTTAGGAGGCCGAGGTGGGAGGATCACTAGAGGCCAGGAGTTCGAGACCAACCTGGGCAATATAGCAAGACTCAATCTGTTTAAAAAAAAAAAAGGAAATAGAATAATGTTGTTAGTATTAGTCAAGAAGTTACTGCCTTCTACTTCTTTCTCCCCTTTGAGATATAGTTATTTTCTGCCAATGAGAGGTAATGGACATTTTCTCCCCCTGAGAACTCTAAAGATTCTAAAAACATTCCCTTTGTTTTTGGCATTACCATGCAGCCATAATGATGTAGTTTATCGTACCACATCCCCCCAAATGTAACTACCAAATACTGGCAAAGCCACCTATGATGTGATGAGACTTGTTCTCTCCCCAAATTCCTACTTTTAAAATTTGCATTGTAAATTATGTTTGGAATTAAAAGGATGTTTCCCTCTAGGAACTTTTGTGATGAGATGAGGTTGTAAAATTAGTGGTATGAGGTCATGATCATGCTTACTTTTTCAAAGTGCCTAAGGTCAAAGGCAAGCCTACATCCTAGTTATAAAGAGATCTTTAAGATATGCTTTTTAGTTTTACCTGTCGTAGTCTTAGACCTACCTCAGTGTTACAGTCTTCCCCTTAATTTCCTTTTTTCTTTCACCTTATTATAATGTATGCCTGTTACTTTATAAGCCAGCTATAATCCTGTCTAGAAGGAGCTACAATACAAATAATAAAAGTAGTTTTATAATTTCTTCATTTATTTAATCTTTAGAGATGATGCCTGCCCTTCTTTACCTCTTACTATATCTCCTGTCCTTCTCATTGCTTTAAGCAAGTAAGTTTAGTCATCACACCTGTGCCTTTGTATTCCCACTGTCTGTCTTCATTCAGTCATTTTCCCAACTTCCTCCAATAGAGCCTCCCTAACTGTAGACAAAAGAAATGGACTCTTACTCAAAAACTTGAGTTGTTGTATTCTTATTTTTAAATGACTGATTCCATCTACTTGGTGATTGTTCCTTTGTCTTCATTTTATCTGTCAAATTGTAAGCCTTTAGAGCTTAGATATGGTGTTCATTATAGGGTACTTAGCAAAGACTTACTTGCATATAGATACTTATAAGTACTTTTTAATGGAGATCGTTTTGTTTTTGCTAAGTCATTTTATTTGGCAGCATTAATTTTGTGTCTACAGTTTAATCTAAAACTTCTCTTTTTCAGTCTAACTGTGTTTAGTATAATATTTAAATATTCTTTTTCTTTTTCTTTTTCTTTTAAGATTTGGATTTCCAGGAGGTAGTCATGGTACCATGCCAAGTCAAGAACGCTTTCTTGTGCCTCCTCAGCAAATACAAGGATCTGGAGTTCCTCCACAGCTGAGAAGATCAATGTCTGTAGATATGCCCAGGCCTTTAAATAACTCACAAATGAGTAATCCAGTTGGACTTACTCAGCATTTTCCTCCACAGAGTCTACCAGTCCAGCAACACAACATACTGGGCCAAGCATTTATTGAATTGAGGCACAGGGCCCCTGATGGAAGGCCACGGCTGCCTTTTAGTGCTGCTCCTGGCAGCGTAGTAGAAGCGCCTTCTCATCCAAGACATGGCAACTTCATGCCCCGGCCGGACTTCCCCAGCTCTAGGCACACAGACCCAATAAGACGACCTCCCCAGGGTCTACCTAATCAGCTACCTGTGCATCCAAATTTGGAACAAGTGCCATCATCTCAGCAAGAGCAAGGACATCCTGTTCATTCATCTTCTGTGGTCATGAGGTCTCTCAGTCATCCGTTAGGTGGTGAATTTTCAGAGGCCTCTATGTCAACATCTACACCAGCTGAAACAACATCTGATAATATACAGATAACCAGCCAATCTTCTGATGGTCTAGAAGAAAAACTCGATTCTGATGACCCCTCTGTGAAAGAACTGGATGTTAAAGACCTTGAGGGCGTCGAAGTCAAAGACTTAGATGATGAAGATCTTGAAAATTTAAATTTAGATACAGAGGATGGCAAGGGAGATGAGTTAGATACCTTAGATAATTTGGAAGCTAATGATCCCAACCTAGATGACCTCTTAAGGTCAGGAGAGTTTGATATCATTGCATATACAGATCCAGAACTTGACCTAGGAGATAAGAAAAGTATGTTTAATGAGGAACTAGACCTTAATGTTCCAATTGATGATAAGTTAGATAATCAGTGTGTATCTGTTGAGCCCCCCAAAAAGGAACAAGACGACAAAACTGTGCTGCTCTCTGATAAACACTCTCCACAAAAAAAATCCACTGTTACCAGTGAGGTAAAAACAGAAGTGCTTTCTCCAAATTCTAAAGTGGAATCCAAATGTGAAATTGAACAATGTGATGAGAGTAAAGATAACACTGACACTCCCCACTCCCAGGCTTCTCCTCACCAAAATCTAGATGATGGAGAAAAGAATTCTTTGCAGCCTTCTGATGCAGATCTACTTGAGAAAGGAACTAATCAAGAAACTGCTGGCTCCAATGAAAGTGTCATTGAAGGATCCCCTCAGCTGCCTGCTCAAGATGTAACAAACTCTTGTGGCATAACTGGATCAACTCCAGTTCTCTCAAGTTTACTGGCTAATGAAAAGTCTGATAATTCAGATGTTAGACCATTGGGTTCTCCAACACCAACTCTGCCAGCCTCACCATCCAATCATGTGTCAAGTTTGCCTCCTTTAATAGCACCACCCGGCCATGTTTTGGATAATACCATGAATTCTAATGTAACAGTGGTCTCTAGGGTAAACCATGCTTTTTCTCAGAGTGTGCAGGTAAATCCAGGATTCATTCAGGGTCAGTCAACAGTTAACCACAATTTGGGGACAGCAAAACCTACAAATCAAACCATGCCTCTAACAAATCAGTCTGGTACCAATGGCATGTCTGGACCCCAACAGCTAATGATTCCTCAGACATTAGCCCAGCAGAATAGAGAGAGGCCCCTCCTTCTAGAGGAACAGCCTCTACTTCTACAGGATCTTTTGGATCAAGAGAGGCAAGAACAGCAGCAGCAAAGACAGATGCAAGCCATGATCCGTCAGCGGTCAGAACCGTTCTTCCCCAATATTGGTAGGAATTCCTTGAGTCTCAACTTCTGTTATTCTGGGCATTCGGGTGGCACGCTTTTTGCTTGTAAGATCTTATTATTAACATCACATTTGGAATAGAGCACTGAGTTTTTCTCTTCCTCCTTGAGCTTTAAAGTGAAAGCAATTAAATGTTTTAGATCCTTCCAGGTAAACTAAGAGATTCTGGATGCAGTGGCTCATGCCTGTAAACCCAGCACTTGGGAGGTCGAGGTGGGAGGATTGCTTGAGCCCAGGAGTTCAAGACCAGCCTAGGCAGCATAGCAAGACCTATTATCTACAAAAAATTTTTAAAAATTATCTGTATGTGGTGGTGCATGCCAGTAGTCTCAGCTGCCTGGGAGGCTGAGGTGGGAGAATTGCCTGAGCCCAGGAGGTCAAGGCTGTGGCGAGCCATGATTGTGCCAATGCACTCCAGGTTAAGTAACAAAGTGAGACCCTGACTCAAAAAAGAAAAATTCTAAATGGAGTTGCAGGCCTCATTCAATTCTATTATTTATGGTATTGTTTAATAGAAACTAGTCTTCTTTTTAATTCCTGCCTTCTAACAATTGTTGCCATGTATTTTCAGAATCATGGAAAGATAAATTTAAAGAAATTATGATAGAAATAAAGCTTTTTACTGTTCATTTGTGTACAACAAATGCTTGACAACTTTTTGCCATGGAAACCTCTTTAAATTGTTTCCAGTAGCTTACTAATTTTAAAAACAACAAAAGTAATGCAGTCAGAATGCCTCTAAAAATAAGAATTAGCAATCAAAGGGCACGTGTCTAAGGAATACTTTCCTCTGAACAATAAAATTGTTACTCTTTATAATATATTACCAATTTCATACTGCTCCCCTTTTTTCATTTATATGCACAGCAGTTTTTTTCTTCATAACTTCTTATTGAGGGTATAATCTCAGTGGATACATTCTTCTTTTAAGAGTGATAGCTAATATGATATAGTTTCTTAGTATTGGAAGTAGCTGCAGTTTTTATTTATGATGTTGCCTGACTAAAGAAGCCATTCTGGCTAGTGTTGCAGAAGCTTGTATGAAGGGGAATTTCATTGCTGTAAATTATTGCTGTAATCTCCTCAAATTTGACACACTTTTTGTTTTAATTCTTGCAGGACTAAAGTATTAGAGCATGGTTCAGTTAAGGATTACTGAGATGCTATTAAATCCAGGATAAGATTACCATCTCATAATTCCTTACCTAGTACAGAAATCTATAATGATTATTAAATAGTAAAGTGTAAGAATCTGTAAATTACCTAATGCTTGGGATATTTGCATTACTTTTACGTGTACTTTGAACCAAGTACAATGAAATAAGTAACTTTGAAATCTCTTTCTTCTTTAGATTTTGATGCAATTACAGATCCTATAATGAAAGCCAAAATGGTGGCCCTTAAGGGCATAAATAAAGTGATGGCACAAAACAATCTGGGCATGCCCCCAATGGTGATGAGCAGGTAGGTAGAGGTGCTTATTGTTCTTAGGGGCATGTAGACATCCAGGAAATCACTACTGCTTCCTAGAAAGAACATACAGAAATTCAAAAACCTACAGTCTAGACTCAAACAATAAATATTTAAATGGCTTTTGATGTCAGCTAGATATGACAGATCTAAAGTGCTATGCCATTGTAAGGAATTCATTTTTATTAGTTTCAGGGAGGGAAACATCATACAAAGATTTGGAAGATGGGCTTAATCAGGTAATTCAAAGTGTTTGAGTGTGTGCTCTTTTAATACCTTTAGAATTGTTAATGCTAAGATTTTTCAGTTAAGATACTAATAAAGGCAACTGTAAATTCAGCTCTAAATAAAATGTCCCAAAAGAGACAAAAGAGATTTTGAATCAGAAAAGAAAAAGTTATGAGGAATAGATAAGAGGACAATTGGAAGGTAGGAGTTGAAGAGCTTGTCTTTTCACTCTTAGTAGACAAAAATGGAAATTATGCATTAAAGAAGTCTACAAGTGTTGCTTGACTATCTGAATTTTTAAAATTATGCCCTCTAAGGGTATTAACCACAGGGCAGTGTTTCTTAAATTTTGATTATGGACCACCATCAGAAATATTAGGTAATTTTTTAAAAAATGCAAGTTCCTTTGCTTTACTGCACAGTACTAAATGAGCATATCTGGAAATGGTTGCCTGTATGTCTGTATTTTTAGCAAGCACCATGAATGATCTTATATATATTGCTCTTTGGGAACCTCTGTCAATAGAGTAAGAATAGAGCCTCTATTTAGCATAATTATCATGTTGAAAAACTTTTTCTATATAAAAAGGAATGCAGGTGATTATGGAAGTGAATATAATATTTGCATGAATTTAAGATGAACATATTTCAAAGAAATTTGACTCCTTAAGGTTTAGTTCTTTTCAGTTGTTGAGATTCTTTGAACATGGTTAAGAAGCATTTTTGAAGGACTGGGGATGGTGGCTTATGCCTGTAATTCCAGCACTTTCGTAGGCTGAGGTGAGAGGATTGCCTGAGCCCCACCGGTTTCAAGACCAGCCTGGGCAATTTGGCGAGACCTCATCTCTACAATAAATCAAAAAATTAGTTGGGTGTGGTGGTGTGTGCCTATAGTTCCAGCTACTTGGAAGGGTCACCTGAACCCAGGAGGTCAATGCTGCAGTGGCCATTAGTGTGCCACTGCACTCCAGCCTGGGCGACAGAGTTAAATTCCAATTCAATAAAAAGAAGCAGCATTTCTGAGATCAAAGTAGAGATAGTGGTTTCTAGTGATTTTCATTAGTGAGCAACACTTACTAACACTGTTCCTCTATCACAGGAGTTCCTAGTCTTTTCCTGTCTTGCATCTTTTTGGGAACTCTAGTGAAGTCTTTGAAATCATCAGAATGTATTATATGCAGAAAACCAAACATAGTACTATAAAGGAAATCAGTTATATTTGTAATATAGTTATTACAAAATAGTAAAATTTATGATACATGTGCTTTTTAGGGCATTAATAAATTTAGCAGTAAACCATTTTCTCAAAGTAATGATGAGCATAACTGACTTGTTAGAAATCTGCAGCACAATACTTGATAGAAAAATAATCTGTCTTCTATTGATGACAGTCATGGTAATGCTAATAATACTGTTATCTGCTGCTTGTATCCAAAATAGAAGGAAATGCTAAATTTTATTTAGCACTTAGTTTAAAATCTGTATCTCAGAATTGGAACTCTTTCATTCAGCATCTGATACAAAGAGCATCATATCATGCCAGCTAGATGTGTTAGTCATGTGTTAGGTATGTTTGCTATTCTACTGACAGCTTTGTAGAAGTGAAAGTGATGGTCCCTTCTTAGGGTAGTGTGATAGGTTCTATGAGGAAGATAGACCATGAGTGCTACTTGGATATTTGGTCTGGATCATTCCAGACCAGAGCTGTAGCAGGAGGAGGGAATCCTAGATGATTGAAAAACTTGAGTAAAAATGTAAAAACATATATTCTAGATTTAAATACTAATATGCAATAGCACTTAAATACTATTGGTACTGTTGGTACATAAATGCAATATTTGGATTTTATTTTGAAAATTGTATGTGTATCTTGATACATTAAGCATTTGGAGAATTGAGGAAATGTTTTGATAAAAGGTGTAATGCTTCTGTAATGTTTTCATAACTGTAATGATTGGGCTGATGCATCAGTTCATAGTGTGTTTCACTTGTCCATGGAATGCTAATGCTGCGTGATGGTTGACGGTCACAGTTCATCACATTTGCCAATTCTCGGGTTGACTGACACGGATCATCGGGGATTAAGGCATTTAAATGGTCTTCATCAAAGCCCGATGGTCTTCCTCAACGTGGAGAACACGCAGGCCAAAGTGGCCCTCTTTGAAATGACAGAACCACTTTCTTGCTGTGCTTTCCCCACGGCATTCTCCCCATACTCAGCACAAATATTTTGAGCCGCCTCCACTGCCTTTACTCCTCTGTTAAACTCAAACAGAATAATATATTGGAAGTGTTTGATTTTTTCACTTGACACTCCATCTTCTTTAGCCTAACTTTCTTCAAATCTGCAAAATACAAGGTGTATTCTTCCCAAGCACAACATTATCCCTCTAAATGACAAATGATAAACTCCCAACACTGCAGTGTTGCCATGCCAAAAACAAACACTATGAACTTGTGTAGCAACTTGATAGATTAAGTAACATTTCACTGAATAGTTTTAACCATGTAGATACATTGGTCAGTCATCAATTTTTTGGTTTGCTTTAATATAAAATACAGAAATATATGAAAATTTGTGAAACTTTTTAATTGAGGTATGTTGATAGTTTTAGAATATAAAATAGCTAAGTGGGCTATTTGTTTTTAATAAGGATTGGAACAAGAAAAACATTTCTTACAAGTTTATGTAGTAGAATTTAATCTTCACTTGTTTTTATTCTGAAGGCTTGAATTTTATTCTGAAGGCTTGAATTTGTTTTACGTTAAGGTATAGCAGAGGGTAAAACCTGGATTCAACCTAGCTGTCTTCTTATCACAGCCTCACTAGTCCTTGTGGGGAAGAGATTGCTATCTCTGAATCTTACTTACACCATTAAGTAACATGGGGGTGCTAACTGTACATTGCATAGAATTGCAATGAGGATTAAATTTGCTTGGTGCACAGAAGATAGAGCTTTAGTGTTTTGATGCGGAAGACACTGTTGCTACTTTTCTCTGTGAGAGAATATTATTAAGTGCTTAAAATGATTTTTAGTTAATATTATTAATTTCAAAGTGTTCATCATTTGATACTTGGTGCTCTGTTTTTACAGATTCCCCTTTATGGGCCAGCCGGTGGCTGGGACACAGAATAATGAAGGCCAGAATCTTGTACCACAGGTCATTCCTCAGGTAATGCTGCTTATAATTCATCACTCTAGAATGCACGTTTTGTGTGTTTCTCACCAAACTCCTTCCATATGATGAGGCTCCTTCTAGAAAGTAGTGGTAGTCTTAAAACACTGCCTACATATATTATTGGCACAACAAAAGAGAAGACAGATTAAGGCTAAAAAACAAGTGGTCGGGCTCGGTGGCTCAGCCTGTAATCCCAGCACTTTGGGAGGCCGAGGCGAGTGGATTACCTAAGCCCACGGGTTCGAGGCCAGCCCTGGCAACCTGGTGAAACCTTGTCTCTACAATAAATTAAAAAAAAAAATTAGCCGGGCATGGTAATGTGCTCCTGAAGTTATGGCTACTTGGAAGGCTGAGGCAGAAGGTTTGCCAGAGCCCAGCAGGTCGACCCTGGGGTGGCTGTGAGTGTGCTACTGCACTTCAGCCTGGGCGACAGAGTGAGACTTCAACTCAAAAATAACAAAAAATTGTCTGTAATTCTGAAAAGGACCTATATACGTAAGGGTAAAAAATACTTAAGGGAAACCAAATGCTTAGGGCTTTAGGCTTGTCATGTCCTTCATTTTAAAATTAATCCATTACATTTGAAATGTAAAACTGCTATAAATAGTGAAATATTCTAATTATTCTATTTAGATATGCTATATTCTTAATGTCAAGCAATGTCTTGGAAAGTAACACTACTCATTTCACACATAGTATTTTCTTCAGTGATTAAAATATATATCTATCTGTCTAGAAAAAAAGAGAAGCTACCTGCTACTGTATCTGTCCTTTGGGATTTTCATTTTTGCCCTATCAGTTACGTTTTTGATGTATTATGCCAATAATGACATCCTTCTCATTATTAAGAAGAAACAGATGCCATGTGATGTAATGATAAAAGCATAGCCTTTGTAACTGAGTTTAAAAAAATATTCCAATTCCACTGTGAATTTATTTTGTAGAGACAGGGTCTCACTATATTGCCCAAGCTGGCTTCAAACTCCTAGGTTCCGGGCTCGGTGACTCAGCCTGTAATCCCGTGCCTTGGGAGGCTGAGGTGAGTGGATTGCCTGAGCCCGCGGTTTCGAGACCCCCTGGGCAACTTGATGAGACCTCATCTCTACAATAAATCAAAAAGTCAGTCGGACATGGTAGCACACGCCTGTAGTTTCAGCTACTTGGAAGGCTGAGGCGGAAGGATCGCCGGAGCCCAGCAGGTCGAGGCTGCGGTGGCCGGGAGCAGCCACTGCACTCCAGTCTGGGCGACAGAGTGAGACTCCAACTCAAAAAAAAAACTCCTAGGTTCAATCAGTTCACCCACCTCAGCCTTCCAAGTAGCCGGAACTACAGGCATATGTAGAAAATAAGACTAATATTATAATTAGCATAGTTTTCTTTTGTTATCTGTGCATATCCAGAGACATTAGTTCTTGTTATAAGTAACCATGCTATGGAGTGGCATTTAATAAATCTGGAACCTGTGTTTATGTTTGATTACAGAAGAAACCAGGCAGACTTTATCAAAAAGTAGTATTTTATGTGGATCTCTAGCTTGATATTAACAATAAAAGATTTGCCCTGGTATTGTATTTCTGATGAATATTCCTTTACCTCAAGCATAATTGTTTTTCTACCAAAAGCTAGGCAATATAATAGTTCAGAGATAGTAATAAATTTTCAGAAATTAGGTTTTCACCACTAAATTATTCTAATTTTTATAAAAGTCAAAACTTTAAAGATATCTTAGGAAATTTAAGGTTTTTTTCTTCCATTTTTTTCTTTAAAATTTTTTTTTTCTTTTAACTGAAATATGGAATAAACATATTTGTAAATTTTACTTATTTTAGGATGGCAGTATAACACATCAGATTTCTAGGCCTAATCCTCCAAATTTTGGTCCAGGCTTTGTCAGTAAGTATAAATCTAATAAGTTATATGTTTTCTGGGGACTGCTTGTTTGCACTATATTTGTGTTGTTCTAAAAACTTGAAGCTAGTGTAGGTTTGTTATTTTAAGCCTAAGTGCCCTCATCTTGTATTAAACATCACTGCCCTATTAGGCATCTTTTCTTCAAGGCATGTATTTTCATTGCTTTTTTTTCACTGTGCATGAGGAACTATAGAGATAAATATTTTAATACAGAAAAGTCATCTTCCCCATTCTCTTCAGAATTGTTATTCCTGTTTTTGTATATAGATTGGGCACTTTACAATCTGTAGAATTAAACCACATTTGCTCTAAGGACTGTCTGCCTATGTAACAAGCACACTAAATGGGAAATACAAAGGGAATATGCTTAGAAATAAGTTGGGTTAGCAGCATGGTATGAAGGTCAAGTATTGCAAGATGCCCCTGAATCCTTTCTAGTTATCTTCAGGGGTCCCAAGGTGGTTCAGGATAGTATTTAAAGTTCTCCCCAAACTGAACCTTTCTGAAATCTTCAGACTGTTTAGCTAACTTTTTTTTCACCATTATTTTTCATTTTGCTCACCTCTGCTCTCCTGGTTCCAGAAACCAGAAAGGCTTTCCTTGCGGTAGGTCTCATTCTACCAGAAGCAGAACTTCTGAAATCTTCTGAAAAAGCCTGTTCTTGAAAAATGCCCTTCAAATTTAGTAGATTAGATTTCAAGTTCATACATGTACTGCAAACTTCTGGGTTTAGGAACAAACCCAAAGTCTGACCTTTTGAAATTCCCCCTGCATTAATTATGATTATAATTTGAATAAATATTTGCATTGAAAACAAGTAAATGACTATAACCAACTGGCTTTTTCTGGCTTTATTGTGCCCATTGGCTTTGGTTGGATTCTTAATGTATGACAATATTCTGTTATCATTGATGTTATTTTCAGCTAATGTCCTTCTTGGAATTGTATTTATTTACTTCTTTGTCTTGTAGTGAGTCAAAAAGGTATATTCAGAATTTCACTACATAAGATAACTTTTTTTTCCCCCTTGGCATCAGTGAAGTAAAGTGCCCTTACAGAATAAAGAAGGGAATATTGGTACAAGGTGAAGAGATATAACTATTTGGGGAGATTTAATGGTAGTCATAGAAGTAGAAAAAATTTTATTTGGTTAACTATTCCCTCCCCTTATTTTTAAAAGTATAAATTACAAAATTGATAAACGTTGCCAATGTTTTCAATTTATGGATTTCCTTTTTATAAAGCATAGACTTTAAATTGGTCCTTCCTAAAACATTCTGCATTCCCCCATCTCAGTTTAGGATATTTTTCTACTGTTAAGAAGTAGGGAAGAACTTACAAACTAAGGAAAATTAGTATGGGAAGTGATTTCCTAATTTGTGCACTAGACCTTAATGGGATATGTCTTACTTTGTCTCTTCAAAATATATAAAAATGAATGAATAAAATGCACATATACCTTAATATGAAGTTTGGCTTGTAGCATAGAAAATTTGTTAGTTTGGTAGATAAAAGTTTTCTACTTGTCAAAGATTGGATTTGTATTATTTAGTGTTAAGTTAACCATTGTCTTAAGAATATGCAATCTCTAGCTTTCTCAAATGTTTTTTTAAAATCTGCTGTCTTGTAGTTATATAATAGTCTAATATTTAGTATTGTGTTGTCAGATTTTCTATTAACTGGTCATGATGAAACTGTACTTTCTTATAAAATGGATTTATGTAACTTTTATAATATATACCCATCAGAAAATTAACACATATGAATTTTTAATTTTTTCCACAGATGATTCACAGCGAAAGCAGTATGAAGAATGGCTTCAGGAGACCCAACAACTTCTTCAGATGCAGCAGAAATATCTTGAAGAACAAATTGGTGCACACAGAAAATCTAAGAAGGCCCTGTCAGCTAAACAACGCACTGCCAAGAAAGCTGGGCGTGAATTTCCAGAAGAAGATGCAGAACAACTCAAGCATGTTACTGAACAGCAAAGTATGGTTCAGAAACAGCTAGAACAGGTAACAGATAAGTTTGCAAAATAGAAACCATCAACAGTTTTTAATGAGTAGAGTGGTGTGTCGTTTATTAATGATACAGGATTTGATTAGTGTTAAGAGGCATACAAAAGTGCATTGTGAAAAATACGACAGCTCATACTGGGCATGGTGGCTCACGCCTGTAATCCCAGCACTTTGGGAGTTGGAAGCGAGAGGATTGCCTGAGCCCATGGGTTTGAGACCAGCCTGAACAATATGGCAAGACCTCATCTCCACAATAAATCAAAAAATTAGGCGGATATGGTGGCATACAGCTATTGTTCCAGCTACTTGGAAAGCTGAGAGGGAAGGATCACCTGAGCCCAGCAGTGGCTGCGAAGTGTGCCACTGCACTCCAGCCTGAGTGACAAAGTGAGACTCCAACTCAAAACAAACACACAAACAAAAAACCAAATAATGACAGCTCTGAGACTTCTTAATAACTGAAGAAGAGCCACTTATGTACCTAAACCTGAATTGTACCTCACATCTTTAAAACAAAACGGAAGTAACTACCGCAATCCTCTCCTTAGAGTGATGGTCACAGAGCACATACTTAATAAGTATCACTGTGGAGATTGAATCTCATAATTCTGACTTATAAGAACTATTTTCATGTCTTTTTCTCTTCAAAGTTTGTAAAGTTGAATTAATAAAATGCACATGTATCTTAATATGTAGCTTTTGGGTTAGAGAATTTGTTCAGTAGATAAAAGATATTGGTATAGTTGGATATGTTATTTTTTTTCTGCACCAAGAAATTACTGTGCAAAGACATGTGCCTGCAACATTTGAGAGTCTTTAGACCAAGTTCATGGGGACGGTCTGAGTTTAGGGGTGAGCAAGAATCAGGGGCCCAGCAAGTATTTATTCACTTGAAGTTGACCTTACTATTATTTCCTAATGTTTTGGTTTTAGAATACATTGGTATACCTTATTTAAAGGACTCATTCCAGAAAAATTGAATCATTTTGCTGTTAACCTTGTTATAAACCAGATTTTTCTCAAAATGTTCAAACCATATAGTAATTATGCTGAAAAGGTAACATTTTCAGCATTTTATTTAAAATAAAACTAATGTTCAAAATGGGTTCAGAGCCCACTCCTAGGTATATCAACCCAAGTGAATTAAAAACTTAGGCTCAACTGTGCAATGACCATTTGTAATTCTGAATTGTACCCCACATCTTTAAAATAAAATAAATAATGAAAACTTAGGTTCATACAGAAACCTATACATGGATGTTTACATCTCTTCTACTCATAGTCACTAAAAACTAGAATAGTGAATGGTTAAATAAAGTGTGGTACATCCATACAGAGAAATACTACATAGCAGCAAAAACAAATGACCTGTTGAATACACACAGCAACTGCAACTTGAATCTCAAGAGCACTGTGCTGAGTAAAAGAAGCCAACCCCAAAAGGTTATTTATTTAACATTCTTGAAATGACAAAATTATAAAGATGAATACTAGGTCAGTGTTGGCCAAGCATTAGGGAATAGGGAGGGGTCGGCTGATTACAAAGAGGTGGCCTGAGCAAGTTTTCTGTGTGAATGGCGCTCTTTTCTATTTTGCTTGTGATGAGGGCTATACTAATCTCTACAAGTGTGAAAGTTCACAGAATTGTATGCCAAAAAGTAAACTTTGGCCTTAGTTGTTAATCTAAATTTTTTTTTAGATTAGAAAAGAAAGTTTATTTAGAAAGTAGATCAGAGAAAAAGGGTGGCTCCTACTCTCCAAGATTGGAGAGGGGCCAGACACTTAAGGACTGTTTGGCCAATTTTAATTTTTAAAATAAAATTAAAAAGAAATCCAAATGTTAATATTAGGGAATGTGAGTTTGGAGTAGATTGGCTCAATAAAAATTTGAGGCCACAGTGGTTTATGGTTGTAATCCCAGCATTTTGGTAGGCTGAAGCGAGAATATTGCTTAAACCCTGGAATTTGAGACCAGCCTGGACAACATTGAGACCTCATCTCTACAGAAAATCAAAAACATAGCCAGGCTTTGTGGCATGCATTTGTAGTCCCAGCTACTCTGGAAGCTGAGGTAGAAGGATCACCTAAGCTCTGGAGGTCATAGCTGTAGTAAGCCATGATCATACCATTGCACTACATCCTGGGCAACAGAGTGAGACCCTGCCTCAAAAAAATAATTTTGTTTTGAGCGCTTTCTTTAGTGAACCCTCTAGGAAGCACCTCCACATAAACATTGTTTTATTTTATCTTATCTACAATTTTCTGAAGGGGAGTTAGTATTATCATCATTCTACATTTAAGAAACTGGTGAGTCCTTGTAGAGGTTAGGTGGCATGTTTGCTCTGAGCTAACTATCGATTAGGGATCTGGACTCAAATGTCACAGCTACCACAATAATGTACCAACAATAAAGTGATGACAGTATAATTGCTATTGTTTAAAACGAGGGCTATTCCAGAGTGAGAGGTTTCTTTTCTCTTTAAATTTACTCTCTAGGTCACATTTATGGCAGGTAAATATCTCTGCAATATTATTTCTTATAAAGTATTGTTTAGCACTTTTATTGACCTTCTGGTATATTCATACAAGGGCAAATACTGTTGAAGGTACTTTATGTACATTCTTACTACTTCACCAATTTAATGGTAATTTCTTAGTTCTAACTAGTAAGCTGACCAGGAAAAATAAGAAAATAAAATAGGCATTACACAGCTACAGAAGGAGAGTTCAAGCACCATTATTTGCAGAAAATATGTTAGTCTATCTGAGAAACCTCCTAAAATTAAAGTTGATAAATGGTCAGGCGGGTGTGGTGGCTCAAGCCTGTAATCCCAGCAATTTGGGAGACTGAGACGAGAGGATTGTCTGAGCTCAGAGGTTCGAGACCAGCCTGGGCAACTTGGTGAGACCTCATCTCTACGGTAAATCAAAAAATAAGCTGGTCATGGTAGCACATGCCTGTAGTTCCAGCTACTTGGAAGGCTGAGGCGAAAGGATCACCTGAGGCCAGGAGGTTGAGGCTGTGGTGGCTATGAGCATGCCACTGCACTCCAGCATGGGCAAGAGTGAGACTCAGACTCAAAAAAAAGAAAAGTTGACAGTTAAGGCTTTTCAATCCAATTTTTGGTGATTTTTTTTTTTTGCTATTGCCGGAGCAAAATACTTTTGCCTCTGTAAAGTCCAGCTGCTTTCTGTATAACACTCACCAAAGTCAACAGTTAGTGTTTTAGTTTGATACTTATGCTATGTGTAAATCAGTACTTACGTATTTTTTTAATTCCAGATTCGTAAACAACAGAAAGAGCATGCTGAGTTAATTGAAGATTATCGGATCAAACAGCAGCAACAGCAACAGCAATGTGCAATGGCCCCACCTGCCATGATGCCTGGTGTTCAGGCCCAGCCACCCCTAGTTCCAGGTGCCACTCCACCCACCATGAGCCAGCCTACCTTTCCCATGGTGCCACAGCAGCTTCAGCACCAGCAACACACAGCAGTCATTTCTGGCCACACCAGCCCTGCTAGAATGCCCAGCTTACCTGGATGGCAATCCACTAGTGCTCCTACTCACCTCCCCCTCAATCCTAGGATGCAGCCCCCAATTGCCCAGTTACCAATAAAAACTTGCACACCAGCACCAGGGGCAGTGTCAAATGCAAATCCACAGAGTGGACCACCACCTCGGGTAGAATTTGATGACAACAACCCCTTTAGTGAAAGTTTTCAAGAACGGGAACGTAAGGAACGTTTACGAGAACAGCAAGAGAGACAGCGAATTCAACTCATGCAAGAAGTAGACAGACAGAGAGCTTTGCAGCAGAGGATGGAAATGGAGCAGCATGGCCTGGTAGGCTCAGAGATTAGTAGGACGTCTGTATCCCAGATTCCCTTCTACAGTGCTGACCTACCTTGTGATTTTATGCAGCCGCCAAGACCCCTGCAGCAGTCTCCACAACACCAACAGCAGATGGGGCAGGTTTTACAGCATCAGAATATGCAACAAGGATCTGTTAATTCGGCCTCCACCCAGACTTTAGTGCAAACCAATGAGCGGAGGCAGGTAGGACCTCCCCCCTTTGTTCCTGATTCCCCATCGATTCCTGTTGGAAGTCCAAATTTCCACTCTGTTAAGCAGGGACATGCCAGCTTCCAGCAGTCCCCAGTGAGGCCTCCCTTTACACCTGCTTTACCAGCAGCACCTTCAGCAGCTAATAGCAGTCTGCCATGTGGCCAGGACCCTGCTGTACCCCATGGACAGAATTATCCAGGATCAACCCAGTCTCTCATTCAGTTGTACTCTGATATAATCCCAGAAGAAAAAGGGAAAAAGAAAAGAACAAGAAAAAAGAAAAAAGATGATGACACAGAGTCCAAGGCGCCATCAACTCCCCATTCAGATATAACTGCTCCACCAACTCCAAGCATCTCAGAAACTACCTCTACTCCTGCAGTTAGCACACCTAGCGAGCTTCCTCAACAAGCAGAGCAAGAGTCAGTGGAGCCGGTGGGCCCGTCGACTCCCAATATGGCGGCAGGTCAGCTGGGTGCAGAATTGGAGAGCAAACTGCCCAGTAGTGATTTTTCACAAGGAACTCCAAATCAACACTCTTATGCAAATTCCGAGGTGGAGAAGCTCTCCATGGAAACCCCTGCCAAAACCGAAGACATAAAACTAGAAAAGACTGAGACAGAGTTGAGCCCAGGCCAAGAGGAAGCTAGATTGGAGGAACAAACTGGTAGTAAGGTAGAAGAAAATGTAGTATCCTGTCCTGTCTCCTCAGCACAGAGTCCTCCACATTCTGTCGTGGCCCCTGCTGCTAAAGGAGATTCAGGGAATGAACTTCTGAAACACTTGTTGAAAAATAAAAAGTCATCTTCCCTTTTAAATCAAAAACCTGAAGGCAGTTTTTGTTCAGAAGACAACTGTACAAAGGATAATAAGCTAGTTGAGAAGCAGAACCCAGCTGAAGGATTGGTAAGTGTGAATCATGAAAACCACAACTTACTTTTTTCTTTTGTTTTAAATTATACTTATAGCAGATTAGTACCAATAACTATATTAATTTCAATACTCTCTTGCAGCCTTTTTACTCTAAAGGATCATTTTTCATTTTGTTATTTCCACCTCAGTTGAACCCATGTTTTTACTTACATTTATAAACTATATTAAGTAATAACTTGCTATTTTTTGAAAAAGCAGAGGAATGTATTGCATTTTGTACATAACATGATGTGTAACAGCTGGTTGTTGCCACACTGCATTGATCCAGCTAAAACAATGGAAATCAGTGTCTATGTACCTTTGTTGTAAATAAGTGCATAATTTTCATTAACCTCTTTAAAATATAGAAGATAGCTCATGCATCCCTGTTACTATCCTTGGGGACTCTTAGGGATAATCCATATTGGGAATCTGTTGTATTACAATGTTATATTAATACTCAATGTTATACAAATGTAATCTTACATGTAGATTTTTTTTTATATTCATAGTTTTCCATGTATCAATTATTATGTTTTAAGTTATTAACATTGGATTTGCTTTTTTTTTTCTCACTTGTATGGAGAGCTTAATTGTAAATATGACTTTACGAGAATTCTTCCCCCTCACTTCCATTAACTTAAGATATTTCCAAAACTGGGATTTCTGGATCATGGAATTTGTCTGCTTGGTAGCTCTTGCCAGAGGTACAAGGCATTACCATTGCATTCACAAAACTTTCCATAGAGTGCTTCTCAAATTGGATTCTATCATTTTCATATTTTAATTGAATAAGAGTGGAGAGTGGTATATATCTAGTGTCTAAATTTGTGATTTTAAGATGCTTAAAGAGCTCATCTTTTGCAAATGTTGACTTACTCTTTGTTTTTTTCTTATTTGTCTTTGTCCATTCCATAGGCATTGAGTGTTGACTGATAGTTTCATGCAATTTTTGTAAATTTAGTGATTATGCTTTTTCAGTCATATTTGTCACTGGCAAATATACCCAGCTGTTCAGCCCAATCTCCAGCCACTTTCTCCAAGGCATCTTATGCCCCAAGGAATACTGAATAACTTACAGTCTTTCTGTTTTCACTCTTCCATATATGCCATATGCAGCTATTTTTGCCTGCTCTGCTCTCCCTTCTTTTATATGTGTGGCCGATATATTTTTATCATTTAAAACTGAGTTACGGAATCATCTTTCTTTCCAGAAACCTTTCTCGACTCAGCCAATCTCAAATATGTGCTGAAACCCATGTACTCACATAGCCATTTCTGTGGTACCATTTAACATTATTTAAGTAGCCTCCTTGAAGAGCATACACTGGCATTTGTAGAATCTTTATGTTAAAATTTGTGCTGTATAAAAATGTTTAATGGCATGGGGAACAACCACATGTCAAGTATAAGAAGCAGCCACCACAAAATGAAAAATACAACGTATGATCATGTGTGAAGGCGTAGAAAAAAGATTGAAAAAAGAGTACATGAAGCTGGGCTCGGTGGCTCAGCCTGTAATCCCATGCCTTTGGGAGGCTGAGGTGAGTGGATTGCCTGAGCCTGCGGGTTCGAGACCCACCTGGGTGGCGAGACCTCATCTCTACAATAAATCAAAAAATCAGCCGGGCATGGTAGCGCGAACCTGTAGTTCCAGCTACGTGGAAGGCTGAGGTGGAAGGATCATCTGAGCCCAGTAGGTCGAGGCTGCAGTGGCTGGGAGCAGCCACTACACTCCAGTCTGGGCAACAGAGTGAGACTCCAACTCAAAAAAAAAAAAAGAGTACATGAAAATGTTAACTATTTTATCTCGGGCGAATTTTTAATCTTTTGTGCTTTTCTATAATTATTTTTTGAATTGTAGTCCTATCTGCTTTTTAAGATCATTGTGCGGATTAGAGATAATGTCTCTAAAGCACTCAGAGTGCTTGACCCATTCGTACTAATACCCATACATACTTATTGCTCAATTGCATCATTAGTGTCTTATATATAAGCCAATTAAGAAATTCTTAGGCCCTTGCCACTCAAAGTGCAGTCCTTGGGGAATCAGCAGCATCCACATCACCTGGGAACTTCCGAGGAAATGCAGAATCTCTTGTCCCACCCCAGCCTCCTTCCCAGAAGGTGAGGATTAACAGGATCCCCAGGTGATTTATACACATAGGAGGGTGGAGAAGCACTACCCTGGGCCCTGGTTCTCAAAACCTTGTATGAGAATCATCTGGAAGACTTGTTAAAACACAGATTGCTGGGCTGTGGCCCCAGAGTTTCTAATTCTGTAGATCTGGGTGGGACCAGATAATCTGCATTTCTAGCCAGTCCTAGATGATGCCTCTGCTCTAGAGACTACCTTTTGAGGACCACAGACTAGCCCACTTTTCCTTCATGAGCTAAGAATGAGTTTCACATTTTTAAACCGCTGAAAAATATCTAAAGAAGAGTAATATTTTGTGACACATGAAAATTATACAAAATTCAAATTTGCTTATGAATTTTAAAACTTTTATTGGAATGCAGTCAAGCTCATTTGTTTACGAATTGTTTATGGCTGCTTCTGCAGTACTAGGGTACAGTTGAATAAATATGACGGGCTGTATGACCTTAAAAGGCTTACAAAATGGCCTAAAACTTTTACCATCTGGCTAAAATGTTGCTATCCATGCTCTAAGCCATTTAGAATATAACTGGAATCTATAATTTTATAAACCCTGGAAGATTCAATGAAGAATTCATTACAGTAAGTTACGCAGCTATAATTGTCTGTAGCAAAGTATTTCTATTAAGTTTAGAAATAATGGAGCCTAAAAATATTCCTGTATTTTAAGGTATTGATAGCACTACCCTTAAAAAAAACCTTTTCAGAGCTTGACTTACTCTGTTATCTCTGTTCTCTCCCATTGACTTTAAGTGTGTAGCTATTCTTTTCCCCTCAAGTGTGTGATTGCAAACTAATGTGAAGGAGAGTGTTTCGTTTTATTGCTGTTTGGGACTAGCTGTTCTCGCCTAAGATGCATAGGCTAGAAAGCTTTCCCGGAGTCTGTGAACTGTTCCAGTAGTTCTTAAGGAGAACCCAAAGTAACTCACCATTACCACTCTGCAGATGCTGCTACAGCCATCTGACTAAGAGCGTTCCCTCCTCCTCCAGGGTCATTGAGCCAGGAATAAGGGGTTGCTGGCCCCAGCTGGTCAGCATGAGGGGCAATGCTTCCTCAGAAGAGGATGTGGCCTTTCCTCAAGCTTTGCCGCTCACTTCTGTGCTTGAGAGTAATGTTTGAAGAAAAGGATGATATTTTCAGAAAACAGCATTGGACACCACTGTCTACCCTCCCTCCTTAACTTTTAGTGCTCATGTTAGGAAGATTGAGTCCTAGGATGGCACTGGAGTAGCATGAACTAAAAATCAAACACATGTGAACCGTTTACTCATTTCTTAACCTTTCCAATTACATTAGCAAACTTTGGGGGCACAAATGCAAAGTGGTTTTGGATGCGGCAACAACCAGTTGCCAAAAACAGATGGAGGAAGTGAAATCAAGAAACAGCGAAGCAAACGGGCTCAGAGGACTGGTGAGAAAGCAGCTCCTCGCTCAAAGAAAAGAAAAAAGGACGAAGAAGAGAAACAAGCTATGTACTCTAACTCTGACACGTTTACCCACTTGAAACAGGTGAGTCATTTGTAGCTGCCCCTTTACAAATTCAGGGATGCGCGAGACCACTTTTTCAACTCTGTTCTACTGAAATTTTTTCTTTATTGTGATAATTTCCTAATTAAAATAGAGCATTACAGGGATCAAAGACTTCTGGACAAGGAACCTAAAAGACTGTTTGCAAGCACAGTTGTGCTATATTCTTTTGGCTCTAGAAATTTACAATAATATAGTTGGTTGGTAGATGATAGGTCATGATTTCCCTGTGTTCAAAGGTGTAGCTTCAGCGCCAAGAAAAAAATCTGTCCTCATTGCTTGTAACTCTGGCTTCAAAAAAAATGCATTTCGGACTCTCTATCAGTGCTATTGGTGGCACCTAGTTCCAATTTATGCTGAGTAAAGAGTGTTTTACTTGTTAGAGGCCTGGCAGCATCCCTTCAGGACAGATAGGAACAAAGTTTAAGTATATCTCAAAGATTCTGTCGCCTCACTTATTGCAGCATTTTGGTACTTGAACATCTTAAGCCTCATTTTTCTCAAGCCTTATTTGACTCAGTTGCTTCAGGTCTTAGAAAGTTGAGAAACACTCAGTTTTGTTTATCCATGTACATCACTCTTAAATGTGTTTTTTAATAGCAGCTCTCTCTGCTCCCTCTAATGGAACCAATCATTGGAGTGAACTTTGCGCACTTTCTTCCTTATGGCAGTGGCCAATTTAATAGTGGGAATCGACTTCTAGGAACTTTTGGCAGTGCTACCCTTGAAGGGGTTTCGGACTACTATTCTCAGTTGATCTACAAGGTATGTTTTTTTGCCAGGATGTTAACTTGCTTCATCTTTGGAGAACATGTCAGAATTGGTAGAACATGTTGTGTTTTTATATCTAGCATACTTATATCTATGTAATCTTCCAAGTTTCATTGAAACTTAAATTCAGCTCTAAATTATTAAAATTTTGTCTGATGAAATGTTCCTAACATAAACGTCTGAAATTTTTTATAGAGAAGAATATAAACTGTGAGACATATCCATTATGTATTTTCATGGTAGAAGAAATACTCATTTCTTTTTCATCTTTATTAACTTAAAATGAATCCAAATTCATTTTAAAAGGTGGGGATAAAAAAAAAGAAACCATGGGATAGGGTTTTACTTTGAAAATGAAATTTAATAATTTTTAAATGAATTGTATCTAGTAATTTGGGTACTAATTGCAACTGTGCACTCACTAATTTCCAGACTATTAGAGTAGTATCAAGCCGGGCTCAGTGGCTCAGCCTGTAATCCCGCACCTTTGGGAGGCTGAGGTGAGTGGATTGCCTGAGCCTGCGGGTTTGAGGCCCGCCTGGGCAGCAAGACCTCATCTCTACAATAAATTTAAAAAAAAAAAAAATCAGCCGGGCGTGGTAGCGCATGCCTGTAATTCTGGCTACTTGTAAGACTGAGGCAGAAGGATTGCCAGAGCCCAGCAGGTTGAGGCTGCGGTGGCCAGGAGCGGCTACTGCACTCCAGTCTGGGTGACAGAGTGAGACTTCAACTAAAAAAAAATAAAAAAATAAAAATAAAGTAGTATCAAACCAAATCAAGTTTACCTTTTGGTATTTTTCTAACAAAGTTCTATGATGGTATCATAAGACATCTTCAGTTTACATCTGACACTTGAAAAGGTCAGTTTTGCAAAAATACTTGAGAGTATCATAAGTTTATTTATTGATTAAATTTTAAAGCTATCCTTGGCCTAGTACAGTGACTCATGCCTGTTATCCCAGCACCTTGGGAGGCAAAGCAGGAGGATCACTTAAGCTCAGGAATTCAAGACCATCCTAGTCTAGAGAGAAAGACCTTGTCTCTATAAAAAAGCAAAAAATTAGTTAGGTGTGGTGTTGCAGCATGTAGTCCCAGCTGCTCAGGAGACTGAGGCAGGATTGTCTGAGCCCAGGAGGGCGAGGCTGTGGTAAGCGGTGGTCATGCCACTGTACTCTAGCCTGCGCGACAGAGACCTCAAGTTAAAAAAGTTGGCCGGATGCAGTGGTTCATGCCTGTGATCCCAGCACTCTGGGAGGCCGAGGTGAAAGGATTGCCTGAGCCCACGGGTACAAGACCAGCCTGGGCAACTTGGTGAGACCCCATCTCTACAATAAATCAAAAAATTAGCCAGATGTGGTGGCGTGTGCCTGTAGTTCCAGCTACTTGGAAGGCTGAGGCGAAAGGATCACCTGAGCCCAGCAGGTTGAGGTTGCAGTGGCCAGGAGCGTGCCACTGCCCTCCAGACACCTACTGAAAAAAAAAAAAGTTGTCTTTTACTGGCTACAACCGTGAAACTTGAAGAGATGCATAAAATAGAATAAGGCATAAAGGAAATTTGCTTCTTAATTTCAGAGTTAAGTAGTCAGGCTGGGTAAAGTAAGCAAATTGGCATGAAACCACGAATATTTCTTCTACTAAAATGCCTCCTGGCCAAACGTGTGCAGAGGCAAGAAAATTGCCTGAGCCCACAGGTTCAAGACCAACCTGGGCAACATGGCGAGACCTTGTCTCTACAATAAATCAAAAAATTAGCTGGGCTTGGTGGCACATGCTTGTCATCCTAGCACTTGGGAGGTAGAGACGAGAGGATGAACTGAGTCCAGGGGTTTGAGACCAGCCTGGGCAACATGGCAAGACCTTGTCTCTACAATAAATAAAAATTAGCCGGGTGTGATGGCACATGCTACTTAGAAGTCCAGCAGGTTTAGGCTGCGGTGGCTGTGCCACTGCCCTCCGACCTGGATGACAGAGTAAGACTCAAAAAAGGAAACGAATGAAGAAAAAGGCCTCCTGGCCTTGTATGTATTATTTTTCTTCTTGGTGTGCTTTTGGGAATAAAGATGCATTTTGGTTTCATTTCTGTAGCTTGCTTTCATGTGCTAAAAATTCAAAGAACTAAGTTTTAGTGAGGTCTTGGATATTTGTTCAGTAGCATATAATTTAAAATTTTTTGGTCTCCTGCAGCAGAATAATTTAAGTAATCCTCCAACACCCCCTGCCTCTCTTCCTCCTACACCACCTCCTATGGCTTGTCAGAAGATGGCAAATGGTTTCGCAACAACTGAAGAACTTGCTGGAAAAGCCGGAGTGTTAGTGAGCCATGAAGGTATTGATAATAGCCTCCAAATTTTACTTCTTTGAGGGGTGTGCCTTTGCCAGCTATATATTGTGAAATGGCAGTAGTATCATAAAGTTCTATCCATTTATCAGTTTTGACTAAATGCATTTATGGTTTTGTGTTTTTGCTTTTTCAGTTACCAAAACTCTGGGACCCAAACCATTTCAGCTTCCGTTCAGACCCCAGGATGACTTGTTGGTCAGAGCTCTTGCTCAAGGCCCCAAGACCGTTGATGTTCCAGCCTCACTCCCAACACCACCTCATAACAATCAAGAAGAATTAAGGTAGAGGCTCCCTTTTTCTCAAGTAATTTTTAATTACTTTTTAAAAAATGTATGTATTTAACCTAATGTATTTTAGAATAGCATGTAAAAACACGGGAGGAGTAAAAGTTGGTGAATAATCTTCAGAATGTGAAGTTTATTAAGACGTTGGTACTATTAAACATAATTGGTTTGCATTTTTAAAGTCTTACATGATACAGGTAGTTCAGCAAACAGTAATAACTGAGTAGACATTAAGACAACAGAAAATCTCCATACAAAGAATTTTAAAAATCATTGTCCTTTAAAAGTTGTAAATGTGATTTATTGGGTTTACTGATGTTTGTAGATGTCTAAAATGAGAGAGCAACAGTTGCGAACACCAGAGAGTGCTATCATAGAAGCGAGTTTAAGGGCTATTCTGCCTGGAGTTTTTTAGCCCCAAGATTCTGATTGGGGAGAATGAGGTCCCCTTAGTAGACAATCACTAGCCAACTTGCTAGATCCTTGGGGTTCTTACATACTGCATCTCTTCCTTGGAAAATCTGCTTAATTACCCTCTATTTGATGGGTTACTTATTTAGTTCAGGTTCCTTGTTTTATAATGAGAAAACTATTGACCACAAAAGGAGAACAGGACGAGATTCAGGACCTAGGTCTCCTTTCTCCTGTACCTCACTACTAGAAATGCCCAAATTTGTTAATAGGGAACAGCATTCCCTATCAGTAACTGTGTGAGGCAACTTCCTAGGGTGTGTATTTGGTGACCAAGGGCAGGTATTTGTCCAGCCCTGGATTTCTCAGGACTGTCTGGAAGCCTTTGTTGGGTCTCCTTCTGGAGGACAGCATATCGGTGTGAGG